AGATGGCCATCTCCCTTCCAACTGATGTCTGGGTCGTATTCCTCATGCCATGGGCGCCCGAGAATCATGTCTTTCTTCGGCCCCATGTTTACGATGTCGAACACCACTTGGGTGGTTTTTCCTTCCACCTCAATGTCGAGTGGTTCTGTCTCTCGTCGTACCCATTGTGTGTCGAATGGTCCCTTGACGACGTGTGGTTGCTTCTTGATCCTCCATGGGATTCTGAGTTGATTCACAAATGCGGGCGAGATGAGATCCATCTGCGCTCCTCCATCCACTAACGCGAGGGCTTCGATCTTCCCCCATCGCGCTGTGATCCAGAGCCTGTTGTCTGGCTTGGTGCTTCGTACAGCAGCTACTTCGTGTTCGTCTGCTGGGAGGTCGTTGTAAGGCTTCTGCTTGCGCCAGTTCTTCCTGTACTGCGCAGCCTGTCTCCGTTGCTGTGGAGTTAGCGGTTTCCGGGCCCCTCGGAGGGCCCTGAGCCGTTTCCCAAGCTCTTGTGGTGTTTCAAGGCGTCCCTGTCCGCACCTTGGCTTGCGGCGTCAATCGTCTGGTGTTCTTGGAGCCATTGGGCCGCCCATGCCTCAACTGGGCGCCTCTCGTTCCTTCGGGACGCTCTCGTCCTCTGGTGTGGCTTCCTCTGGGATTGCTGTTCCATGTATCCCCAGATTTTCTCGTCGGCGTGTGGTAGGCAGTCTGCGCTTCGGCATTCGTTGACTCCTACGCCCGCCATACAGCGTCGGGGCCAGGCTGCCTTGGGTTTAACCCTCAGCCTGCCCTCGTGAGTGCGTTGGGTGTCCCACAACATGCCTGCGGGAGCGTCGCCGCTGTCGTATACCCATCTGATGGGCAGGGGTTGCATTCCCTTTTCTTCTCTTGTGGGCCAGAAACTGTTGCGAAATTTGTCCTGGAAGTGGTACCGACATTCGTGCGTGATGCACTGGAACCAGGGCAGGTAGATGTGACTTTCTTTTCGTGGGTCCACCCGCTCGTGGTCTTCTGATAACAACTGGAATCCCTCCGTGTTGTTCTCGCCCCGAAAACCCCACCATTCAAGGTCGGAGGTTTGTCGTCCGGCGCGCACGATGTGCTGATGTCGCGTCCAGTATTCTTCCCAGCTCTGCTGTTTTCTTCCTTTCGCCGCATTCTGTTCCTGTGCGTAGTCGAAAAGTTGCTCGGGGTATCGTACTCCGTTTTCGTATCCTTCCGCCTCTTCGGTGGGTCCATCCCACGGTGTGTGGTGCGGAAGTGCCTGGCGGATGTCGTCCTGCAAGGCCTGTGCCTCTCTTAATGTCTTTTCGACGTGATCCCCGGCCCTGTTGTTGGCCTCGGTGATCTCTTGGACTCGTTCCCTGGCGAAATCGAGTTCCGCGCAAAGTCGTCCGTACTGGTCGTTCCTTCTCTGGAGAAGTTGCTCGAGTTCTTCTTTCTCTCTTGACAACTCCTCGATCCTTTGCCGTTGGCTTAGGACCTTCTGTTGCAGAAAAATGAGGTTCGGGCTGACTCCTCCTTCACCCTCGTGGGTTCGCCATTGCCCGTCCTCTTGCTGAACCAGGGTGATGCCCCAGTCCTCAGCGACTTGTCGGATGTGCCGCGGGGGAGCCAGTTCTCCCTCGTCATCCGTTTCGATGAAAGCGTGATGGGCGGTGTCATTTCCCTCCTGGTGGTTGCTGCTCATCAAGTCTTCTTGATCCGAGTCGGTGAGTTCATCGTCCTGCTCGATGACTCGGTCAATGTCGATTTCGAGGTCGTCCTGCGTGTAGCTGGCGGCTGCGACCTCCAGAAACCGGGTTCTTCTTCCGACCGTGTTTTGGTCGATGGTGGCAGCTTCCTTCCCTGGAACCGGTCTCCATTCTTTCTTGCTGCGGCAGTCTCGTTTGAAGTGCCCCTTCTTGCCGCAATTGTAACAAGTGATGCCTGATTTGTCCTTGGCACCATCTCTCTTTCCTGCCCATTGTGCCTGGGCAGCGCTGACGTCCATGGGTCCCGAGTGCGTGCCGTATGACGTGCTCTGGTGCTGGCGTTTCTTTTTGTCGTTGGGCTTGTGGTAGCCTGCGGATCGCTGAATCTCGCTGCCCTTCTTCTGTTGTTTGCGGGCGAACTATCGGTCGTCAATCTTGACAGCCATGGCGATGTACTCGTCGAGCGTGTCAGGTCGGCTCTCCTTGTAGAGCTCGTCCTTGACCTCCTCCTTCAGTCCTCCGTAGAACAGGTGCATCAGCCCCTCGTCGTCTATTTCTGCCTTCATGGAGTCTTGTCGGAAAATCGTGGCGTAGGCGGTGGCTGACCTAGTCTGCTTCAGCCGTCCTAGCCGTTCCTGGGCGTGTAACTTCTCGTCCTTGTCACCGAACACCTTCTGAATCTCACTCTCGAACTCGGAGTAGTTCTCGAAGACCTTTTTGGTGAAGGGTTTGTGGATTGCTCCGCCGAGGAAATCACTCAGTGTTCCCGTGAACCACTTGAGGGCCTTGTCCTTGAGTCGGGTGGCGGCGTATCTGGTCTTGGATTCCTCAGTGGCGAACTGGTGCGAGTTGTGGTCGAGATAGTTCCGCATCTCCGTGATCCAACCTGGCAAGGCTTCCTGGTCGCCCCCGTACTTCTCGGGTTGCTCCAATTTGACCTTCGTCTTGGCCGGGTCCTTGGTGTGGACCTCGGTCGCCGCAAGTCGGGCTGCCAATGCCGCGTTGCTGGCCTTGGTCTTCGCAAGCTCTTCTTCAGTTTCGTCGAGTCGTTCGGTGACTCTCTGAAGCGCGGCCGTGATCTGGCCCGGCGTCGGTTGAGTTGCCATGTCGTTTTACCTTCGAGCCTGAACTGTAACAGATCAAAGGGAGTTAGCAACGTGTGACGAACCTGTCTCTGGACCCGTCCTGTTAGGGTTCAGTATCGGTCGAAGGTATTCTCTCAAGGGTGCTTAGGTTCGGTGCAGCCAAAGGGTGCACAACAAAGACTTGTCTCAACAGTAGGCTCTCGAGCTTGTAGCGAACTGTAGTTGTGATTGCTAACTGGAGAACTCCCAGAGCTCTCCAGAACGAGTGACTATATACTGCTATCTAACGTGTTGATCCCTCTGCTCCCTATGCTCCCGAGGAGCGATGGGAGCGTCGTGAGCAGTGAGTGCGGCGAGTGCTCCCCGTGCTCCCTTCCTCGAGAGGGAGCGTCGGGAGCGCTTTCACTTGTCGCAACGATTGGCCGTTGGACCCTTAAATGATTGGCCGGGACGTCCCGCATCCCGCAGGCCAAGACCGCGTTGGGCCTAATCCGTGACAAGATCTAAGGCCCTATTACTACTATCTGGGCATTAGGATAACGCAGGATAGGAAGAACCGCCGGATTTACTTAGATCAGAAGACATATATTTAGAGGATTATCGAGAGGTTTATAGGTAAGGACTGTAGGAAGGCTGATACACCGATAGCCACCTCTATAAAACTAACAGCCCCGCTAAAGGGCTACGAATGCCCTGTAGCGGTCCGCTAGTGGTATCAGTCGTCGGTTGGCTCGCTACTATTCTTGATACTGGGTATATAGGGGGACCTGGGATATCCGATAACGGCTGTTAGCCGGTACCTCCACAATCCAGCAAAGGAGTACGAAATAGCGGTAAAACGGATCTTTAGATACCTTAACGGGTCCGACAACCTGTATATGATGTTCAGCGGCGCCCTACGATAGCCAGAGGGCTATACTAATGCCGATTGGGCTAGGGACCTCGATACCCGGAGGTCTATATCCGGGTACATCTTTAACGTTGGAAGCAGTACAATCAGCTGGAGCTCTAAACACTAACCTACGGTAGCCCTATTATCCTGTAAGGCCGAATATATAGGATAAACGTAGGCTGTAAAGGAAGCTATCTGGTTGCAACGGCTATTCGAGGAACTGGGTAGGTTAGGGAAAACTGAGCCGAAGGCTATCGTTATCTACTCTAACAACCAGGGGGCTATTATACTAGCCAAGAACCCAGCCAACCACCAACGGACGAAGTACATCGACATTCAATAGTACTTTGTTAGGGAAAAGGTAGCCGAAGGAAAGATCGCCCTACAGTTTGTACCTACAGTAGAGATGGTAGCCGATGGACTGACGAAACCCCTGGTAAAGGAGGCTTTTCTACAGTTTAGAGCGGCGTTAGGCCTTGTAAGGGAGCTACAGGGCCGTACAGACCTTTGAGGGATTCCTCTAAAGGGAGGTTGCAGTTAGTGGGAGATATACTCAGTGGGAGCTCTCTGAGCTACAGAGGGGGGAGCAGGCATCGAGGCCTATCTTGTGGCTCTGAGTGGGAGTACTGAAATGGGTATAGAGGCTACAAGATATGGAGGGTAAGGGAGTCCCTGTAACCGTTCCTCTGTATATAGACAGAGGGCATCCCCCCTCCTCTGGACTCTGAATAATGCAAGCAATCTTACGCATAACCGTCTTTCTCAGCACTAGAAGAGAAGGTACCTATTTGTCTTTCTTCCCTCACGGCAAGAGCTGACAGGGAATGAGTGAGCGAAGACGTCCAGCTCGCTGCCCCCCCGGTGGAGGCAGTCTCAGCCTGACCTTTGGGACCGCACCAGAGCAGAAGCTGAGAACAGCCCAGTCAGAGAGCGGCTTCTGTCATCTCCGCACAGCATCCTCTCTTTTGAGCAGAAAGGTTTTCCGTGAGGAAGCGATACAGTAGTTTGCAGAGACTTTCTTTTGAGCATCCTGATGGATTAATTGGCCCAGAACCGAGGCGCGACACTTTGGGGTATCAACGCATCCTGACTTGCTGGTCATAGCAGATTCTTTTCCCAACCGTGCCGTAATAAACGAGTGCAGCTGAGTTGTCGAATAAAGCTTGTGAGCAGGGAATCGAAGCGAGCGATAAAACCAGGCCGAGATAACGGCATGTGGAATCAAAATCGGGCTGAGGTGGCCTGCTATTGGCCTGAAGGATATGTCTGTTACAGGCGCTGACTGCCAGCTCTCTGGTCCTGATATCTGATATCCCATCCCACCAATCCCATGTGTGAACGGGGCAGCCAACTTCTTGTGCCTCCGAAGCGGCCAGCAAAGGATCCTGAGTACTAGGTAATGACAAATCATTAAGCCACACGCGGTTGTTTGCAGTCCGCTTGACCAGGTTTCAGTGTGTGTGGGGCAGCCCTCGGTGATGGATGGCACAGTAAATGTGCTTAGAGGGAGGAGACAGCGTAGCTGCTCTTCGGAGGAAATGGACCATGGATATAAAGCCCCCGAAAAGCCTACTTCCAACGCTGCTTCACTTCTACCATCACAATCAGCATTCAATCCAGCAAGCCCCTCTCTGCTTCTATAATCCAACCCTTAAACAATCCCTTCAGAAAATCACCGCGTCCAAGTGCAATGGCTGCCATCATCCGCCAGATTTTCCGTCGCAAGAAGGAGCCTCCTTTGGTCTGCTCGGTGAGCCTCGACGCCGACGTTCACAGTGAGCACAGACACACCGCTGCATGCTTCGTCGACTTCGAGCCACTCGCCATCGTCGAATTCTTCCAGAGCCAGGGATGCCTATCCTGCCCCCCCGCTATCCCGGCCATCCTCGAGGGAGTCAACCAGCCGAACCTCCTGCTACTCTCATACAACGTCACCATTTTCGATCATCTCGGCTGGCCGGATACACTGGCGAGCCCAAAGTGGGACGCACGTCAGCGCGCATACGCGAAGCTATGGGGGCGCAACAACCTTTATACTCCCATGGTCGTCGGGAATGGCGTGACTGACGGACCAGGTGCTGGCGGCAGGCAGGAGATCACGGACATTGTCGCTCGTTCTCGGGAGACCAACAGAGATTTGGGCTGGCAAGTCTATGTCGACGTCAATGACACGGACCTGAGAATCGACTCGGATAAGCAGGAAGGCGAGGTGGGCGTCTACGACATCTTGCTTGCTATCTACGACCCCAGATTGGAAAAGATCAAGATCAAAAAAGGTCCGAATAAAGGGAAGAAGCTTGATCATGTGAACGTTGTTACCGACCTAGTGAAGGTTGGGGAATGGAGGGGTGGCAACACGACACTGCCCCTTCCAACAGCGAAGTCTGATCTCCCCCCTGGGAAAGAAGCGGTTGTCATGCTCCAAGCACCGGCGGGTGGGCACATCCTGGCTGCGGCCAAACTGTAGTTTGCACAGAGAAGGAGAGCAATGCTCGAGGATTGCATAGTGTCTATCCATGAGGACATCTGCGTATGCTTTATCAATCAAAACTCAAGTTCCTGCCAGCGCTTGCTACCAGCCGTGCCCCTGTATCTCGATGGAGAGTCTCCCTACCACTTTGTTGGTACGCCGAAGAAAGCTGCCGAAGCAAAGCATGGTCTTACCCATGGCGGTGATTGAGTATTCCGAAGCCGCCTCGAGCTATTCTGCGCGTCCTACGTGCCGCGCGCATCATGAGTTGTCCCACCGAGAAGTCCAGAGGTAAAACCTCCCCTGCCAGACTTTGATCCGCTCCCCCGAGCCCTTGTACACCTAGCTCAACCAGCGATCGACTTTCATTTCCTCTTCGTATTGAACTCTCGGCACCGCTACTTCTAACAGCGGATCGTCGTCCTTCTGGCCGCCCCAGTCCTGGTCGTGGAGGGATATAAGCGGCAGCGAGTCTTCGTTCCGGGGTCGGTTAAGCGCAACCCGCGGGTCTCAACTGCAAAGGCGATCCGGAGCCAGATGTCGCAGGGCGGGAAAGTCTAATAGCCCTTGGCGTGGACGGAGGTAAAAATAACGGACTATGCATGCACTGGCGGAGGAGTCATCACCAACTCCTGTCGCCGGTGTGCCGCCCGCCCTCTGTATGGTCTTGGTCACTTCACGCACCCAAAGAGAGTATCGTTGGGTCTGGTACCTCCGTATCCCACAACTCCTGGCGGGGTATTTTGCCTCATGGAAGTCGGGCGGAATCAACCTTGGCTTGCGAGGCAGGGGCTGGCATTAAGTGGGACATTACCTCGGTAGGAATCAATCACCCAAATCAGGCGATATCTGACCACCTTTCACTCCCCAACCCCTATTATTGGGCTGAACATTCATCGGAGCCGCGGTTACTGGCCCCGGGGCCCAACGATATCATTATCTGTTCGCCCATAAAGGTTTCCTGTCTGCTCAGAAGGGTCCAGAACTGGTAGCTATGAGGACAAGAAAAATAGTTTAGGGTATTTCTATTTCTAGGAACTAAGAGTAGGTAAACAGTCAGAGTCCCCGGTCCTCTCAGGGGCCATGAGGAGGCAATTCGATTTCTCTTTCCACGCTTGCAGAAGTGACTCTTTTTCGCGGTAAGTGTGGCCGCGGCCCTCTGACCAGAGGGCCATCCACGAAGGTGCATTGATTCCACCATCGTAGGATCCGTGGCGTTGAAGTTTGTTCTTTGAGCCATCTCCTCCCTCATGCTACATTGACATCACAACGCGCGTGGCACGTGCCCAGTGTTTGGTGGTGTGTGTGGTTTTGAGGTGTATCACCACTTCACTATAAGAAATATGACTTTTGAATTATTAAACTACCGAAGTTCAATAATATAATTAACAAGGCTGTATTTATAGTAATATACCTAGAGGGAAGGGCCCTTAAATAGTTCGAGCCTACATACTAGGACTATCTACCTAGAGAACGTTAATGCAAGGCTTGGAACATTTATAGGACCCAGTGTGAGTCGACTCGGCAACGGAACGTCGCGCGAAGCGCTCTACTTGTTCAATATTATGGCGGCAGACTCTATTCAGGATAACACACAAAATATAGAGATCCAAACCCATCCTCATCTCCTATCCCACAACTCAGGCCTCGCACTTGACATCTACGGCAAACTCGTGGCTCGACAGGCTGCCCTCATCGGGCAGCTCATTCAGCTCGGCGCACTTGGCCACCAGTTGGATGGTGACGCACTCCGCCAGGGTGGCCGGGTCCGCCTTGCCGTAGACAAACTGCAGGGTGGTGAAGACGCGGTTGTAGTAGGGGATGACGGCGTCGCAGGCCAGGAAGGAGCCCTCGGCGATGGCGTTCTGGAGCGTGCCCTCGGCGCTGACGAAGTTGGGGGTGCCGGAGCCGACGTCGATGTCGAGGATCCGGCGCGGCTCGCCCGCGGGCTGCACCGCCAGGCTGAAGGGGATGGAGGGGGGGCTGCCGCCGTCGGTGACGATGCTGCTGGTGCCGCTCTCGGCCGTGCCGTTTTGGTAGAAGAGCCGCACGCTCGTGTGCGAGAGCACCGCTGCGTTCATGGCGGCGCCCGTGTGCGCCGTGCTGAGGGTCATGCCCTCGACAGACTCCGCGAGCGAGCTGTTGCCGCCGGTGACGTGGGCGTAGAGGTTGAAGCCCTTAGACGTGAAGGTTGGTGCCCTCGCCTGCTGGCTGGGCAGGGCGGTGACCGCCGCTGCGAGGGTGACGACTGAGATGGGGAAGCGCATGGTGGTGGATTTAGGGTTGGGCGTTCGGCTTTCGAGAAGTTCGGTTTAGTTGAGTAATTGTTTCGGTGCGAGTTTGTCTGTGCAAAAAGATTGGGGGTTTAAAGATTGGGGACAACGGAGACTTTAATAGGTATTAACCTCCACACCGCCGATCTTTCACTCTTGGATACGTCAACACCATGGCGGGCTCCCATTTCCGGGTCTCCATGTCCCGCCGCACTTGCGGCAGAGGGCAGCAGTTTGGCGTGGTTGGGGAGAATCCGGGTAAGTCAACGTTGCAGTGCTTCGTATTGTTCCCCTACCCTCCCGCTCCCGTGCATTGCGACCACTTCGAGTCCCAAAAGGGGCAAACCTCGATCTCGTATCCCTGGAAGGATGATCGCCACTCTCTATTTTGGGTTCTTACTAAGAGCCCGCCGCAAATGGCAAGAATGTCAAAAACAGTCAATCCGCCAATCCCAGTTTGCAATTTGTTCGCGCGACCTGCATCCAGTAATATGTTCAATTTCATTCCACCTCCGACCTGCGTCCAACTAGGCGAGGAGGGCTGAGGTTCTGCTCAACGTAGGATCAGCAGAATACGAAATCCATATCGATATACCGGTGACCGGGTAGGCCGTTGGCGTTAGGGAGCACCTCCCTCCCTGGTGGACGTTGATGGCCATGCTGTAGACCCCAGTTCTTGTTGAAAGGCCGCTCTCTATACGGTTCCGGTACTACTGCTACTACCACTCTAGGAGGTGTTATTATACGCTTGGGCCGCTAACAACAGGGCGAAGACAAGGTATAAATAGTAGTAGTAGTCGTAGTAGTAGTCGTAGTAATAGCCAAGACAACTAGTACCCTGGAAGCTTAGAGGATACTACCTGCCATTTCAGTCGGTGGTAGGCACCATCTTTTCTCCTCCTTGTTCTTGTACTCTGACCTGGCGCTACCAGGATGTCAAGGGAAATAGGGGCTGGACAACGGTTGGTACCATCGTGCTTCAAGGACCTAACATCCCTAAAATGACTTACACGAGTGAAAGTTGGGGGACGGGAACTCCGCTGAGCTGACCTTGCCAACTTAGGCAAGCGTCAGGAACGATAGGGGGTCCATCCGAAGACTCGAAACTGATTGCCCCCCACTCGACTCGGCTCCAGCGAGTCGGCCCGGCCCAGGCAGTGACGACGATGAATCCCTCGTCTACAAGATCGCTGATCTCCTACTGCCGAGGAACCAACATACACCGGGAGGCGACAACAAAACCCGCGCTATCGACTGCGAGTTTACGCTGTAGTGAGAATTAAAACCGCAAAATCAAGGTAATTATCTATCATCTAACATTGGAGAGCTCAGAGATCCAATATCAGGCGCCTGGTGAGCCCGCCCCGTTCATGTCAGGGTCGGATTGTCTTAATATCTGCCGTCTCGGCGGCCGCCACCACTGTGTTTTCAACCCGTATACGTAAATAATCAAGGCGGCAAAAACGCTAATCGCCCCAGGGCATGGTCAGCGCGATATCCAACTCAAGGTTGACGTTTTGGGTTGTGTGGTGCGGCACCTACACCATAAGGATCCGGCAAACCCCCATACCTGCCGCAAGCGACACGCCACGTGTGCAGTCACCAAAGATGGTAGTCGCGCATATGTCGGCTTTGTTAGTGCGATCCACCACGTAGATGACATACACGCCTATGCTCGCGGCCTCGAGAATGACCAGTGCGAACCAGGCGCACGCAGCGGCGCCTCCCAGACAGCAGTAGAGACACGGCAAGACTATCGACATGCAGAGCCCTTCAACTATGGTTGAAATCATTGCGATGATGCTGAGGGGCGTTGTGATAACTGCGTTAGCCAAGCAATACTCGGGGTAATGGATGCGCTTACCCAGCAGCTCCGACGTCCTTGTCGTCGAGGAGTTTCAGGGAGGCCACGGTCAAACCGGCCGCCGCAACAAAGCAAGCGAACACGCCGAGGCCGCCAAACCACATCCAAGCACGATGGGTCCCATCCCACGGCGCTCCGCTCGTCCGCCGACGCGGGGTGGCTGCCGTATATGCGGAATCCAGGTCACCTAGGTGGTAATCAAACGGCCGCGGGCGCACGCCCAAGAGCAAAAACCCCGGGCGATGATAATCCGCGTCGAACGCCGGCGGTGCTGGTTCACTTTCGACGTATGGCGGCGGGGGTGCATCCGCGCTGCCAAAGGTCGGCGCCTGGCTGGCTGGCCTCGTCGGTCTAGTCGGAGCCTTGGGTGGCGCCCATGATGGTGAGGCGCTTGCTCCGCAGTCGTCGGGCGGTGGGGGGTCAGAGGACGCCGTCCCGATTGTATTGATCTCGTCCAGCGTATCGACCACCCATCCTGACCTCATCACTTCACGGTCCGTCATCGGGGGGTGAGTTGCTATTTCTATGCCGAGAGATGGCCGACGACGGGCGCTGGCTTTACGGGAGAGCACAAGTGCGTCGCGTCGAGCTGTTAAATTGAGGTCTCGAGTGGAACGAGCCAGAAATTGGGGGCCGGGCTGAGTTAGCCTAGGGGGGCGGGCGGCTGGGCCCATGCCAAGAGAAGAACAAAAGAAAAGCGTATTCTTAGGTAGGTAGATGTTTGAGCCCAGCCGGGCAGATTGTTAGGCCGGATTACGCCTAGTCGATAATAGTTCAGCGTTCAAAGTTGTTTACCTCACCACCAAAAAGACAAGGCGGACTCTGCCCATAGGGCAGCCGGGAATCTCTCCATTCCCGTCAAGGAGCGACCCAACTCTGAATTACATCTTCTCAATTGTGTTGTCCAAAGGCGGGGCACCTATCGAATGGCCCATCGTCATTGCGTCCAGCCTACTGCTCCTCGCAGTACCTTGAAGGCCGAGAAGGAAACCTGGGTGTGGAACTGATGTTGATCTAGACTTCGCTGCCCCGTCCCCTTTGAGCAAAATAGGTACTAGGTATTGAGAAACGGTCACTTCAAATTTCCCGTCGGGGTATTTTGAATCCCTTAGATACCTAAGGTAAGTAGGTACATGAAACAACGGCTCAGAGCCAGAGCGATGGTGGGCCTTTGAAGTCCACAGCCATGCTTTCATACTGGGAACCGAAGTCATAGAAAAGTAAGTCAGGTAACTGGTGTGAAAAGACTTGTGACCCCTGGCAGCGTCATCGCCGAACGGAATCCCCAGTTCGCCACCAAGCCGACCCTACCTTCTGGGCGACTGGCCAGGCTGGTCCTTCCCTCAGTCCTTCCCTCTTACGGGATATTAGGAAGGAGATACCTGTATTTGACACTAACGCTTTGGGAAAGACCTTCCCAGGAGGCCCATCCACCTATCCCTGCCCCATCTCAAGTGGGACAGACAGAGGAACTCCCCAACAGGACGCCCCAATACACACCGTTCATCCCTCATCAAGACTAACCCAACCTGAGAACACCTACGCCGACGCGCTAACGAGAACAACTGATCACTACACAGACCTATAACTGCGGATCCCGAGTCATCAGGAAGCTCTCTAGGACAGTTGTTCTACGGCCCATACCCCCTACTACCAGGACAAACTCCCTTTCTCCAACACCCTTCACAGGTCAGCATGGCAGACAACGCCAAATCCGATGGCCCCAGTGCCCGCGACCGTACCTCACCGGGTCGAATCGAAGATCTACTAAAGATACCACTGATCGATCCTCACTACCGGGAGCGTGACAATGAGCACCTGCCCTATGATGTGAACAGGTTCCCGGGCGGTTACGGGTACAGCACTGACACAATATACCCCAACAACCATCAACATCAGGCGCAGCCACCCCCTGGCCTTGGCCCCATGCCTACGCTTGGTCGGGATGACACCAGGAAGTGCCGCTTCGCCTTCCTGTTCATCAAGTTGTCTGTTCCCTCCCTCCGATCGAGCCGTCACTTCGGCCTGTCCATTACGAGCCCTCGTACCGCCAAAGCACAGACCCACGGACCGTACTCACCTCTTCCTAGAAATTCACCCTTGCTCGGTCCGTGATATCATTGTAGCAAACGTCATCATTCCCTGTCCGTGGCCGTGGGGGAAGAATTAATATGACGACAACCATCAAACCAAGATTCATGGTGACGACATGTAACGGAAACCCACCGAAAAGCCCACAAATCATCGCTTTCGTAGCCCATACGTCTAGCTGTGAGTATGATTGCGACGAAAACGTGGGGCCTAGGGCTGGCTAAATAAGTTGGAGAGGCCTGCTTAAAGCCCACTTGGGCGGCCCTGGGTCACGGCGCGCCTTCCTTTCACATTTCAACCGCGGAACTAGAAGAAGGCAAACCGGAGGCAGCTCAGAACAACAGTGCGTGGACGGTAGGGCCCAAGGTTCACAGCACCCATAGATATTTACGCCTCTGAAAGCTACGTGCCTAGAACGGGGGAGGGCTATGTTGGCAATTATAGGAAGATACTAAGGGATGGCAGCCTGGAGGGTACATAAGGTACCTAGGTAGTTTTCTTCCGAAAACCATTCTTCCGAAAACCATATCCGTGATATGATGCCCCTCCTCCATCATGACCATGTCTTCCGTCCTGGAAGACTTGCCAAAGAGTACCTAGTGGGCTTGCACGAGTTAGAGGCTAAGTGGCTTCGATCCGGATGTAGGTAGTGAGTGTGCTCAGAGCATTCAGGCTCAGTGCCTCCGGTCGAAATAAATTCCATCCATCCGTGACAAGGTAACTAGCGTGTCCGGTTGATATGAGGGCCGAGGCTCGACGAGGAATAGGCGGCGTACGACGCCAAGAGGAGATTTCGAGGACTCATGTCTTCGACGCTGTGGAGAGGAGTGAGATAGCCTGAGAGATCTGACAGATTCCGCCCGTCGACACCATGAATGCCGCTACCCGTCCAAGCTGCCAGCTCGGTGCAGATGCTCGCCATCCGTGAGACGTCGCCCAATCCACTCAGGGTAGGTAGATGACCGTGCAGGGACCGTGTGCTATTCTTGGCAAGGGAGCCCGTGAAGAGATGCTGGCTCTGAATCTGCACAATGCTTCCTTCGTAATCCACGCTTAATCCACTAAGTACTTCGTACCTACCTTAGTTTTCTCCTCTGCGAAGGTACCTAACCTGCCAAGCCTCCGACTTCATGCAAGCTCTTCGTCGTGGCTGAGCACCACCACCACCACAAGACTTTTAATTGGGGGTTGGTACCGAGCGTGCACAAGCGCAACGCGTTAAGATACCTAGGGGGGGAAAACTGGGGACAACTGTCCAAGCCCCGTTGGGCAGAACGTGAGGCAGACTTTGCCAACTTTTCATCCGAGGTCCGCTGGGAGTATAAGTTGCTGATTAGGTACCTACCTAGGTACCTTACCAAAAAGTTCTGATACCTTTTAATCTCATCTCCAATCAAGTACATTCAAATCAATCATGTCACCTCAGAACTCCCGACATGCGTACGGTGTGCTGCTCGTCGCCCTGCTGTCGTTGATGCCCGCCGCCCACGCGCAGTCGGCGTGTGGCTTGCAGGGCTTCTCGTCGTGTACTGACGGAGACCGGACCACCGGTTACGGATGCTGTCCCACGGGGTGGGACTGCTACGCCACCGAGTGCTCGTCCACCGGAACCCCGACCTTACCCGTCACGGCGACCACAACAGCGTGCCCCGGCATCCCCGCTCACCACCTCTGCCCCCTGTCACTCGGTGGTAAGAACCTCACTCTCCTCTGCCCTCGAGCTGGGGCCCCTTTTCAAGAAAGAACAAGACTGTGGAGCTAACATGGTACCACAGGCAACTGCTGCTACCGCGCCTACGCCTGCGACCCCGACAACGTCTCGGAGTGTATCTTGACCCAGACTGAGCGGGTGTTTGACGAGGTCGTGTCGTCGATGATCATTATCGGTAACGACACCCAGGAATTTACTTCTACTACCATCTTCTACCCCTGGCCCACGATCACACCCCGGATGACGCCCGAGCCCGTTGCCGAGTCCAAGACCGACTCCAAAACTACGACCGCCCCGACGACGACGACGACGACCACGGCGCCGACGGAGATACAGGCCACTTCCACTCTCGCCACCGGTGCGGCCGGCCACGTTGAAGCCCATATTGGAGTCGTCATCGGTGGCATTGTCGCCGGTCTCTTGGTTCAGAACTAATGCCCGCGCTATGGGTACGTTAAACTGAGACTAGTCTCATAATTCTGGATTCTGGTCAGCGTCGAGGGATGGACGGATGGTCGGCCCCGAGCTTCGTCTTGCTCGTCTCTGTTGGAACCACGGCGCAACCGTCTGGGGCGGACTGGAAGACAGACAACATGGGTCAAGGCACTGCAATTGATTGATGACGATGGTCTCTCTTCGACCGTCCTGCTTCTTATTCATGATGTTGTGTCTTTCTTGTCGGCTTCAATGCAACGCACCGCGCCAGCACAGGCAGCTCCCACAGCGACCCCATCGCCATCCCCTCAAGCCCAGGCGCCTCCCAAGACTTCGGCGGCGATGCCGACGATTTTCATGACATCGACGACCTCCTCCCCGAGCTTCCCATCGACCTTACGGATTCTGAGCGCGTTCCCTCCCTTCTAAAACGCCCTATTCGCGATCTAGACGACCAGCAGTACCCGGATTGGAGTGGTATTGACAGCGAGAACCAGTCCCCAGGAAGGCATTCCCAACCCCCTGAAGGCTTCTTCTCCTCCACCATCCAAGGCCTCCAGACTGCCGTCAACATCTGGGCCAAAGATCACGGCCTCGCTGTGGTACGAAACAACGGTCGCAATAAGAGAAATGCGGCGAGGAGCAAGGAAGCTATACACGGTACGAGATGCTCTGTGACAGGAATGGCAAACCGACCTCCTCGCCAACAGGCCTGAGGAAGTCATCCTCACGCAAATGCGACTGCAAGTGGAAAGGTTATACCGTTCTATCTGAGACCGGCTGGCTATACCGAAACTATTCAGACAATGTCCCTCACAACCACGAGCCCTCTACCCAACCCTCGGCACACCATTCCGGAACCCAAAGTTGGTGGCGTCCCAGGTTAAAAAGGGCCATTCATACGCTCGGGTTCATCCTCCTTACTCATCCCCGACGGGGTCCCGGGTTTGAGTCCATCCCCGAGCTGGGCCAGGCAGCCACCATTTCTCCGGCAGGGGTTCAGTCTCCGTCCCGGGCCGTCACCGCCTCTTAACCGGCTCCCGGGGACGGGCAATCCCGCTTTTCAGCCTCGGGTTGTCGACATTTGATTGATATTGGATCGCCGCCATCGCAATTGGGGACGAAATCACAAAGTCATGGACGTGGTGAGTACCTATCTGGGAATATCTGGCAGCTGAAGGCTCGCCGAAGGGTCGGAAAACACGGTAATTCATCAAGTAAACGCGGTGGTACTACTACTTGGTTGGATAGCGTGCCTAAAAGGTGGTGCGAGGTTTCCATGGGGATGAGTGATCACCACTGCTACCTGGTCCCCCCTAGGTTATGTTTGGTGATGTCAGGGGCGATCAGGCAGACATCATTGGAAGTAGTGAGACATGAGGGGTAGAAAAAACTATAAGAGAAGAGAACAACACGGAAAGAGTAATCGAACGTTCCAAGTTCAATCCAATAATTGTGTACGTACCTACCTACTGAGCAACCCCGCAACACCATGTGTGGCATAACCGTGAGCATCGCGCTGGACCGGCGCCAACGCCAGCCATGTACGCCAGAAACCCGCGCAGACCTCGAGACAAAGCTTAGCAATAGTCTTGACCTGATCGCCCATCGAGGCCCCGACGCAAAAGGCATCTGGATCAACGAGGATGCCTCGATTGGTACGCTCAATTTCACCCCTCCATCTTTTCCCGCTCACCACCACTCTGTCAACTAACAAACCGCCCTCGCCAGGCCTCGGGCACAACCGCCTCTCCATCAACGACCTCTCCCCGTCCGCCAACCAACCCCGTACGTTAACCCCCCCCCCCCCCCCCCCCCCCCCCAAAAAAAAACAAAACCAACCCCCACCAAACAAACCCCTTAACACTCCACCAAACCCCCAAATCCCCAAACCACCCTAACTCCCCTAACACTACCACCCAAACCACTCCCCCTGCAACCAAATCCACGCCGTCATCAACGGCGAGATCTACGACCCGGACGACGCCCTGCGCACAACCCTCGCCACCACGCACGGGTACGCCTTCCAATCCCACGCCGACACCGAGCTCGTCCTAGCCCTCTACCAGGTCTATGGCGCGCCCGCCTTCCTCAACCACCTGCGCGGGGAGTTCTCCCTCGTGCTCTACGACGAACGCGGCGGCGGCGCAAACGGAGGAAAGGTCGTGCTGGCGCGCGACCGCTTCGGCATCAAGCCGCTGTTCTGGACCGTGCAAGATGGGCGGCTGCTGGTGGCGGCCGAGGCTAAGGCGTTTTTGGCGATGGGGTGGACGCCGAGGTGGGATGTGGAGGCGATTGTGGAGGGGGTGTGGCAGGTTGGGGAGAGGACGCTGTTTGAGGGGGTGCGGAAGGTGCTGCCGGGCGGGTGGGTGGAGGTGGGGGCTGATGGGGAGATGGTGACGGGGACGTATTGGGATTTGGGGTATCCTGATAAGGTGAGTGCAGGAAAGTCTTATGTTGTGTTGGTGGCGGTGTGGTGGTGATGCTGACGTGTGGGTGACTAGCGCGTGCCGGAGACGAGGTCGGTCGAAGAGATGGTGCTTGGCGTGAGGGAGCGGTTGATCGAGGCGATTCGGCTGCGGTTGAGGGCGGATGTGCCGGTTGGGATTTACTTGTCCGGAGGGATTGACTCGTCGCTGTTGGCGGGCATCGTGACCCATCTCGTGCGGGATGAGGGGATCAAGATGGGAAACCAGGACGCCACCAAGCGAATCTGCTGCTTCAGCATCGAGTTTCCAGACTCCCGGGCTTTGGATGAGTCGGGTATGGAGCACCGCCCTTCCCCAAACCGCCAATGCTGACAAGAGTACCTAGACATCGCCGAGAGGACGGCCAACTGGCTGGGCGTGCAGATCCTCAAGCAGCGCATGGACGAGACCGCTCTGGCCGAGAACTTTGCCGACACGGCTTACCACAGCGAGCACCACAACATGGACCTCAACGCCGTCGGCAAGTTCTGCCTCTCGAAACTGCCGCGCGAGCACGGGTACAAGGTGGTGCTCACGGGCGAGGGTTCCGACGAGCACTTTGCCGGCTACTCTTTGTTCATCCCCGACATGCTGCGCGAGCCGGACCTGGCCACGCCCGAGTCGCTCCTGGCCCGCGACCCCGAACTGCGCGCAGAATTGCAAGACAAGACGCAGCAGACCATCGAGGGGGGAATGCTTTCGCGGTCGGGCATGATCCAGCGCGTGGGCGACCCCGAGGCATACCGCGAGCTCAACGGCGTCCGGATCATGAGCTGGATCCAAGCGTGGCAGTCGCCGCTGCACATCTTCGCGCCGCAGTTCCGGGAGCGATGAGCCAACGTCAGCGGGGAGCAAGCCCAGACCAATGAGATATCGGCCGCCGCAAAAGAAAAGATGATGACGAAGTGGCACCCGCTGCACGCGTCGCAGTACATCTGGACCAAGACCCTACTTGCCAACAACCTGCTCACGTGCCTGGGCGACCGCAGCGAGATGGCGCACAGCGTCGAGGCGCGGCCGCCGTTCCTGGACCACGAGCTGTCCGAGTACGTCAACGCGCTCCCGCCGAGCGTCAAGCTGGCGTACACGCCCGACGCGGAGAGCGCGGCGAAAAAGTCGGGCACGCCCTGGGACAGCCGCGGGTCCATCACCAACTCCTTCACGGAGAAATGGATCCTCCGCGAGGCGGGGAAGCCGTACATCACGACGGAATTGTACGAGCGAAGGAAGCACCCGTACTTGGCCCCGAGCAAATGGCCCAAGGACGGGCCGATGCATAGGAAGCTGCGGGGGATCTGCACGCGAGAGGCGGTTGAGAGGCTCGGGTTTGTGGACTGGGAAGTTGTGAGGAAGGCGTTGGACAATGCATTCGGTGAGGATGCAGATAACGTGGCGTTCAGAGTTCTGGTCGTCGTTGGAGGCTGGGTGACGATAGGCGAAAGATTCGGCGTCCAGCGTGCGGAGCTGAGGTCATAAGGGAGAATACGGGGAGTGTCCTGGAAAGGATAATTATAACTGGAAATATCCAAACAAGTGTATACATGAACAGAGATAATAGTCGATGAGGTACTACCAGACCATGCCATGGCTCCGTGTCCCTGCGCTGGGATCACCCCTCTTCTTCCGCCGACGGACCGAGTTCCCGCGGAACAAGTCCTTCAGGCCCATAATGCCCATGCCAAACAACGACGCAATGAGAATGACCGCGATGCTGAGCATAACGATAACCGGGAACCACAAGGATGCATCCATAAAACTGGACCACGCCCTCGAACTTGTAAACCCGTCTCCCTGGACCTCCATAACCGCCAGGCTGACCTGCATCGAGTTGAGCACGACCGAGCATACCGCGAAGACAGTGATGATGGGCGCCAGGGTGTGCTCGAGAAAAGAGCCCCATTGGGGGTAGATGTGGAAGTAGGCGAGGCTGAACTTGAACAGCATGGCGGCGCGGTTGATGCGCGTCAGGCGGAGCTCGCCGTAGTGGTAGCGGCGGTTGACGTGGGCGTCGCCCACCCGAGCGAACGGCTCGATGAACTCGCACCACTCCTCGTATGTGGGCATCTCGCCGTCCCCCTTGGGCGGGATCAGGTGCAGCTTGCAGGCTTCGTGAAAGTCGAGCTCGTATTGGATAAGCATGTAATAGCTACGTATGAAGCCGAGGCAGGCGCCGTAGAGTCCCTTGTCGGCGTTTTCGAGGTAGGCCCAAAAGGCTTGCGAGTAGAAGTAGGCCGGAATGGGCTTGATGAAGATGAGCTCGTAGTACCAGACCAAGTGGAGGCCGGGGTTTTCGGACACCTTGATCTCGCGCGCGTGTGACCTTTGGTGGTGTAATGGCATGATGTGGGTGTAAGATGGCGTTTGAACAAAGATGTACCGCATCCACGGTAATAACTCATCCAAGCCCTTGGTACTGTGGCATTTTTCCAGGTACTTGAGAAGGTGGTCCTCGTTGGCGTCGACGTTATGCCCGTGGGTCTTGTCTAGTCGTATGCGAGGCTGGCCGGGTAGGAATTGTTTCCTGTCCGCTTTTGCTTTCAGGATCTTTCGTGTCTGCTTCTCCGTGAGCCCAATCGAGGCGTACTCGAGGTCGTCGTTGAACTCTAAAGCGAGGCGCTCGAACGGCGTGAATGTATCGTACGACTTGTTGACTCCGGGCGTCGACGGGTTGGACTGTGGCGTCGCCGCCTCGCTCGTCACGGACGTTGGCAACTCGGTCGCCATGATTTCTGGCAGTTGCTGTGCCTGGTATTGATCTCGACGGGGGGTTGGAGGGCGGGGTGTCGCTGCTGTCGTGTCGTATCGAGATCGTGAATTCTGCGGGTTGCCTTTGCGGTGCCCTCTACTCGCCGCGGGTTGCGAGAGAGATCTTTAGGAAGCCCAGCTTGGGGCGAGCCCATCATTTTTGAATCAGCTGAACGCCGTTGGCAGCACAAGACGGCGGCACGGGAACCGCGAGGCTTGGGCAGATCCATGTCGAGGGGCTGCCTTGGCGCCAATCCCCGACGACAGCGGACCACTCCCGGGGCGCGATCCCACCCTCCGGCGACGCGCCGCAGCCCCCACCCACTCGAGACGGCTGGCGGCTGACAACCCTTTCACACACTTTGAGAGGTGAGATGACGTCCCGAGTCCGACAATCGACGGCCCGAGGACACACAAGACACTTTACACGAGGTTAGAGCAGAAAAGGCAAACAGTTCGCAGGACTGAGAGAGAAGGCAACTCACATTTGGCCCCCCCCCCCTCGGTGAGAACCAACAGAAAGCCTAATGAGGCAGTGTGCAGACGGGGAACAGCACACGGCGGCAAATGCAACGGCGCACCAACAACTTCCAGGCGCTCAGCCCCACCTTGCGGTGCAAGCTCACGCGAAACAGCCAACAGGGATTCAACATCGTAAAATAGTAAGACAAGACAACGGGTATCGCGTAAATAAAGCCGCCCATGCACAGCCGTACGTGGCAAATCCAAAAGAGAAATCCAACCAGGCTTCGGGTTCAGTCATCTCCGGTCAGGTCAATAACCTCGCAGACACGCTTCTTGGCGCCTCGTGAAGAGGACGCTGATGGCAAAACCTCCGTCTTGACCTTGACAACCTCCGTCTTGGCCTTGGAGGCGGTTCGGGACGTCGGAATCGAGTTAAGGCGGCCGGAGGATACCGGGCCGAAGACACGCGGAGATGGAGAGGAAGGCTGCATCGTGGCTGCCGATCTCCGCGGTGTCGGAGCCGGGACGGGCAGTCTTGCCCCCTTTGATGCATTCCCGGACCTAGCACGTTTGCTCGGTGAACTCGGTGAACTTTGAAAGGCTGTGGGTTGCGATGAAAATGGTGTCCCGCGTGGGGAAGCCTTTGGGGTAGAACGCGGCAGATATTTAGACATCGAGACCGGTGTTGGGCGCGTTACCCCCCACACACTCTCGGCCCTCGACGTGTACGACTCTGTCTCCTTCGAACGCACCGAGTCCCATCCCCTCGAGATGGCCTCCCGATAAGCTGCGGGGGTAATGGGGGGGCTAAGACGTGGGTTAGACGCAGCGGGCTGAGAGCGGCACCCGGCAAGAAAGCCGTCCATCCGTGAAGTGGCCGAAGTCAATGTTTCATCCGGATTGTGGTTGCCGTTGCCCTTTGCGGGGTTGCGTGGTGTGCGTGCAGTACTCCTTACGGGGCGACCGGGTGCTGCTGCAAGTGGGCTGTTGGTAGAAGGAAGACGGCCTTGTCGGTTTGGTGAACGGCTGCTTCCAAGCAACCGATGTGCTGAGCCGGGTGAAGCTGCTGGGGCCATCGAGACGGGGATTTGGTGTGGCCTAAGTATATCTGCCTGGTGGAGTGGGTCGCTCAAACTCTCGATGGGAACCGGGGAGCATCGTTTGGGCTTCTGAACAGATTGGAAGTTCCGAATTCGGGGGTAGTCGTCACCGAGGATTTGGCGCAAGGACGGGCCGTCCAACTTCCGTATGTTCATGCTTGCTGTCTTGTTGCTCTCCATCCAACGCTCCCGGTTCTGGACATCAACCTCCTCCATTTTCCTGACGACAAGCGAACCGTCCTCCATTCCGAGAATACATCGGTTGTTCTTGTAAGCGTTGGGAATTAGATATGTGTTGAGATGGTGTACGTTCAACTGCGAGCCTGAGTGGAAAGAAGCGGCAGAGACGCTGTTTATGAGGAAGCGTCTGAACGAGGTGCACAGGCTGCAGCGGCAGTCGATCTCTTTGGTCTTGGGCATCCATGTGAACGGCAGCGCGCCGACACAGCGGGCAAGGTATGTTTCGAGGATTGCGGCGAAGAAATGGCGGTACCGAGATGCAGAGAGGAAGACGTTCTTTTCCTCTAGAACCTTGATAAGGTGGCCAAGAAACGGAATCCAAAAAGACGTGAACTCTGGACGTGGGATCAGTCCAACGTCTGCAACAACCTTGAATGCAAAAGATGCCACAACACTATCCGCCCCATCAGCCAGGAGTGTAGAAATACTGTTCGCGAGTTGGCTGGCGTCGACAGCGCCGGCAAACCCCGGCTTGTAGGCGGACTGGTTGGAATGGTCACAGCCGCGACATTTAAATTCGTGTTGGCCCCGTCGGAAGAGCTTCGATACATCGAGATTGTTGAAAAGAACCCGTGCTACACGGTCGAAAAGCCGCTCGGGGCCCGGTGGGATCGCGGTTCGGATCGCCTGCGCGTTCACGGCACTGAGGCGGAGGCCCTCTAGGACACCGAGTAAGAAGGACGACTTTGAGGGGTTCTTCTCGACGATGCGAAGCAGCCTGCATGGGTTAGTTGGTCCTATACCTATAAAAGGGGCAGGATGGCACGGTCTTACTTGGACACATCCATTCCTTCAGGGCCCTGCGCGAGACATAACAAATCGACCAAAAAGTGGCCAATATAAGAACAGGAATCGTTGGCGTCTATATCTTCCGGCAGGCTGGTTATCAACTGCCGTGATAACACCCTACACCCGGTTTCTGGCAATTTTGGCCCGGCGAGTTGATAGGCGATAAAAAGTCTGCCCGAAAACGTCGCCGCGGCTGAAGCAACGGCAAACAGGCTTCAACTCTGTCAGTCAGGATCTTTGTAAGTGAAATGGGCAGCGCGTACCTCTTCTCGGCTTTAGGTAAGGGCAGCAACCCCGAAGCCACCCGGTTACTGACCCACGTGAAGAAGCTCAAAGGGGGGCGTTTTCCAAGGCGGCAAGCGGCTTGCTCAAGGAAATCCCAATCCTCCATGTTCACCACTGCCTGAAGAAGGTCATGGACCACGAGGTCCGACAACACAGAAAGGCCCTTGGCCTCATCGAGCCGCCAGACCGTAGCACAAAACTCCCTAAAAACGGCGACAAGGGGATCGCAGCTGCTCGACTCTGATATCCGAGTTATGAAATACCTTGCGACACCCTCAAGAAGTTTGAGTCGGGAGGGGCACAGTGTGGATGTGGAAGGAATGGTAGTATATCGCATTAGGAAGTCCACCACGCTGTCTCGTGGGGCCAGCATCACGGCCTACAGAAGTCGGCGTCAGTATCCGCCCGTGTTCGTGAGGTTGGTGTTGGAAGAGCACCCACCACTTCAGAACCAACAGCGCCGGCGAGCAGCGAAGGAACTTTCGCCTGCACCAAGTTGTCGTCGACTGGAATGTCGGAAATCAGCTCGTGGCCGTGCTGGTCAACTAGGGTGCGGACCAGGTAGTCCGGTGTCGGCCCCCTGTCTTCTCTCTCGACCAAGGCAAGGAAGATCTCAAGATGGAGTTCGTCTGCCATCCGGTTCAGCGTCTCGACAACCACAGCATCCCGGCCAAGAAAAGCCTCGGGCGGAAATTGCCCGTCGTTGTATGTGTGATCGAGCCTGTAGTAAAGATGGTTCGTGCGTCGAGATGCCTTGTCCTGCTCGACCCATTCCCGGAGCACATCCCGGAGGCCTGGTGCGTCGTCGTCTTCCACTGGGAGCGGGTTGGCAGCCTTCTCGGTGGACTCGCGGAGACAATCCAGTTCGAGGCAGACGTCGGCCTTGAAATCATCAAACGCATCTTTCTGCAGCTGCTCAATCAAGCTCCGCGAGCGGTGATATTGAGATTCTTGCGATTCTTGTGATTCTTGGGCTCCATGGTCGTGTTCCTGTTCGTCGTCATCATCGTTGTGGCCGTCGGATCCCCGCAAACCATCATCATCTTCGTATCCCCATTGGCAGTCCTTTTCGTTGTTTTCCTCTTCATTGTCTTCCTCTTCGTTGTCGTCGTCCAACACGATCGGGTGGTATCTCTGGTCGGTCTCAAAGGCGTCTGACTCGCTATCACTGCTCAAAGTAACAATATCGGCGACGCGTCTCCTCTTCGATGGCATGGGTTTGCCATTATGCAGGTTCGTTGCCAGGTAGGTCCGTTTCCTCCGTGGTGGCATTTTGTGGCTCGTTAAAGTGTGGCATTTGGGGCGTGTCGAAGGGAGACGCGACCGACGCGCCTGCAGCTCTGCCACTGTCTTGCATCGGTTCCACTGCGCTGCAGCTACCCCACCCCCCCCCCCACCTCAAGCCAGGGACGCCAGGGTCCCGAACCCCACCTCCTCATTTTTGCACGACACCGTCAACAACCGACAAAGCTGGAGGTCATGATCACACGAAAAGAGTCCCCCAAAAGGTGCACCACTACACCCCGTTACAGTGAACCCCCCACCATTGGTTGAGCAATAACAAGTTGGTCGTGCCAAAGGGGAACATGCTCAAAGCAGCGCCGGCCTGGTTTGTGCGCGGACCTTGTGTCGAAAAATGCTCGGGCCAAGACCGTGCTCTGGAAACCGAGTGAGAAGCCAACGGGATGACTTCTAATCCTGTTGCGGGAGTCAGATGACAAGGAAGGGGACGTTTCTGCAATCTATTCCCCCGTGACCGTACTCGCGAAAGGCGAAAACTTAAGGATGGATATATGCCAAGATCGTGTATTTTCTATCAAGAGTCGACCTGTGACTTGTTGCTCAGGGAGCAACACATCAAATTGCCAGTAATTGAAACGAACTTAGACGCGCCCACAGGTCTTCTCTCGCGTACCCGTGCGAGAAGGCAACATGTGTCGGTAGGCACTGTATAGAGTGTCACCACCTACACAAGCGGCATCGACCGAGATCCTGTCTCAGTTAACGCCGGAGGTCGCCGGTAACTGTAATCATCGAGGGGAGAAGCAATCAAATCCTCGTAAAGGGAACAAATGTAGCGCGTGTCGGAGTATTCCCAGCCCACGTATCTGGCCGTGGAGCCGTCGATGGGCGGAAAAGGCCCCTGGACGTCTGGCTGGTGCACGTAATCGCCGTCTATAAGGATGGCGACGAGCGGCGGGGGAGGGAAATGCGGTTGGGTGGGATCGCTGGGCTTGCCCGCAAGGTGAGGGCCGAGCGTGGCGAGGCATTCGTGGTCGACATAGAGGCAGTAGGCGAAGCGCGGCAGGGCCAGGGGCTTGGGGTCGCAGGGGAGCGTCAAAAAGTTGGGTGATCGCTTCCGAGTCACGATCCGGCCCTCACGCCACCGGACGAATTTCTGCCTGACAACATCCCTCGACGCACCGTCCAGCGTTGCCCTGTCCTCAATGACCGTCCATTGGGCGTACCGCTCGAGCAGTGCCCCGCGCTCTGGCCCCGGTGCCCCGCCACGCCTCAAGTTCAGGTGCACATTGTCCCGAAGACACTGAAGGAACGAGTTCCACGCATCGTCGTCACCGTACACACCGCGGTAGATAACAAAGCCCCATTCGTGGAAGTCCGTATCGCGGAGCGAACGGCACAACGCTGACAGGTACGCATGCCGCTTCGTCCATTCCTCGGGCATTTGGGGCGGCTCCATGGTTGCCAATAATAGGAGTTGTCTCCCTTCAGGTACCTAGGTGATACGTAGCTGCGGAACTAGGTTGTTGGTGGGGAGCGAAATTACTGTCACGGGCCGCGGGTGACGGATAGCGGAACAGAAAAAAAAGTGTTGGTAAATATTTCAATCCAGCCGGTTGTTGTAATACCTAACTTGTGTGTTTTGTGTGTGGAGGAGGGAGGAGAAAAGAGAAAAGCGGCGGCGGGGTAATACTGCCTGCCTGGCTGTGCCTCATCGCCCGTTGAACCACTGCAAGCCAAGTGATCCTGCGATGAATTAAAGGGTTTAACACCGAACGGGTCCTTTGATAGAGGTCATGCTACTCAACTAGAACCTGAACATTCACGGTCGGCCCTTGGTACCCTAGATCGGGGACAGAGTCACATACTCATATTTAGACCCCCCGTACTTCGCTGAAGTCTCTCTCCTTATATCTCGCCTTCTCCGTCAAGGGGCTGGAGGAAATGCCGCAGCCCGTGAGGACCTATCCCTGGCGCAATGATCCGACGATGCTGGTTATGGTGACCCCTACGAATCACCGTCTGCCGAGGCCTGGGGACAGGCGACGTGTTTATCTCATCCCTTTTCGTAACATAATTAGGTAGGTGGTAAGTACCTAGGTGGTGGAGGCAAGGTACGCACGTAGGGAAGAAAGTCAAACCACCGCCTCTCACATCCCGGCAGGCTCTGATCGTGGTCTCGCGATTTCACCCTAAGTTCCACCATTTAGGCAAGCTTTCTGTAGATCCGTCGCAAATTAGCGGGTGGTGAATTGATAGTCTGAGACACCACGCCAGACCATCATCCACGGGCGAGGTGGCGGGATTTCTCAAACAATTTACACTCTGTTATCACACCAAACCTCTGGGGATATAAACGGACAGCTTCGATGATATTCCTGACGAATAGTTACTTGCTTATGCCTATCACGAAGCGCCATGTCGTACATCCCTCTGTCGCACACCGCTCGGGTTACCCATCCAGCTGGCATCGGTCTGCAGATCGTGCCGTTACGGTCGCCATTTGATTCACATTCGATGCCCAATCCCGTTAGACTCCGAGCCGTGTACCTGTACGACGAAAAGTAGCAAGCTGCTTAACTCACCTCAGTTCCTCGTCCGATTCGCGTCTTGGGGGCGTCAGTTGTTTTCGACCTTGCGTGTCGTCTATGCCCGCATCATGGTTCTCTGCGCCTCACTTTTCAACTAAAGCCTTTACCAACTTCAACAGAGTTATCACGAGCCATGGCTGGGCTGGAGGAAAAGGCATCACGGGAACAAACCGGGGAGCCACCAATATTTGACAGTTCCCTCCCCCAGTCGTCGGGGAGCAGTCATGATGGATCCAGCGAGCCAGCGCCTCGGCTCCACGCTAGAACCCTTCTAGCAGTGCTGGCTGTTTGCCTAATATACTTTGCTCAACTTGTCAGTCTCGTGGGGGCCGGCGTCGTAAGTGTCTATCTGCATTCTCACCGGCCAGTTCCCGGATACAAGTAGGCGTATAACTCACCGGACAAAGCAAGCACAAACCATTGGCGCCCACTTCAACGACACAAGCAAAGTCGTCTGGTTTGCCGGCGCCATCGCCATCTTCACCGTCGTCCTCGGGCCCATCGTGTCTCAAGCCGCCGATTACTGGGGCCGAAAATGGTTCCTCGTCACCCTGACTTTCACTGGTGCCGTCGGCTCCGTGGTAATATCCCGCGCCAGCTCCCTAAACATGGCCATCGCCGGCTTCTGCCTCGTCGGCACCGCCTTCGGTACGCAGCCGCTCCTGCACGTCGTCGCGTCCGAGGTTCTCCCCCGACGTTGGCGGGGTTGGGCACAGGCTTGTCCCCTGATGATCAGCACACTCGGCAGTCTCACAGGGCTCTTTGTGGGCGCCGCCCTGAACCGTACGTCTGATCCAAACTCGGACGGGTTCCGCTACTACTTCTACATGGCCATGGCCTGCTATCTCCTCGCCGCGGTCGCATGCGCCATCGTTTACAACCCACCGCCCCTCCCTGGCCAACTAGCCTTCACCCAGCGCGAGAAGCTCGCCAAGCTGGACTGGATCGGCTACCTCCTCTTCTCCACGGGCCTGGTCCTCTTCTCCGTCGGCCTGTCCTACTCCAAGAACCCCTACGAATGGACCGACCCGCGCGTATCCGCGACCTTCGCCGTCGGCATCGCCCTCTCGCTCGCCCTAATCCTCTACGAAACCTTCCACAAGACCGACGGGCTCTTCCACCACGGCCTCTTCTCGCGCAACCGCAACTTCGCCATCGCCACGCTGGCCATATTCCTCGAAGGGCTCGCCTTCTTCGCCGTCAACAGCTACTTCGCCTTCCAGGTCACGACGCTGTACGAGCCCGACGCCATGCTGTCCGCCGCGCGCTACAGCCTCAAGTTCATCTTCACGGCGGTCTTCGGGTGCGTGGCCGGGTGGCGCGCCACGAGCTCGCGCCGCGTCCGCTGGATCACGGTGGCCGCCTTCGTGCTACTACTGGCGTTCTTCGTGTGCATGGCCACGAGTGATCGCGGCAGCGACGATGCCGTCTGGGGGTATGCGGCGCTGATGGGCGTCGCGTTTGGGATCACGCTGACGACGCTGATCACGGTGGCGCAGCTGTCGACGCCGCCGGAGCTGATTAGCATCGCGAGCGGGTTGTTTATCTCGTTCCGCTCGCTGGGCGGGAATGTTGGGTTGGCGATCTATAATGCGGTTTATAACGCGGCGATGGATCGCTTGGATGGGAATGTGGGAGACGCCGCCGTGTCGGCAGGGCTGCCGGTAGAGGAAGTGCCGCGGTTTGTTGCCGCGCTTGTTGCGCGCAACGAGACCACACTTCTGGGGATCCCGGGGGCTACCCCTGAGATCATTGGCAGTGGAACCACGGCTCTCCTTGAGACTTACGTGGTAGCCTTCCGCTATGTGTGGATAAGCGCGGGGTGTTTCGTGGCCGTGGCGGCTATCGGTAAGTCAACAATTGACACTCTCTTGATATTGATAGTATGCTAATATATGATTCGTAGCTGCTATTTTTCTAATCGAGGAGGAGAAGGAGTTCAACATGCGGATTGACAACCCGATCGAAAAGCAGGAGGAGTCGCCTTCCGCTTAGGGGGCTTATTTCACTGGTGATATGGCGCTGGCTGGCGCTCATGAATGAAGCCAAGTTCGACTCTTATGTATCCCTCTCGCCTTGGCTACCATGTCCGGCACTTCGCCCTGCAACGGCGGAGGCCTTGCTGACCGGCGCGCCGGGCTGCCTATGCCCACCAGCACGACTTCATACTGGCACCGGGACCCCTCGGCTCAACTGATCGGTCACCGCACCTCGGAGATCTTCCGCCGTCGACCGATGTCGTCGTCATCGGCAGCGGCATCACCGGTGCGTTCGCTGCGCAGGAGTTGGTCGACGCTGGCCAAAGCGTCCTCATGCCTGAGGCGCGCGAGGCATGCTGGGGCGCAACAGGTCGTGCATGCTTGCAGTTTGAGTTAGGAACCCGACTGTTTTGATTGTGGTGCTTCGTTTGTAGTCAGCGCGTGCGAGTAAAAAATAGAAAGAAAACGCAATACTAATTCGGTCCTATGTGGTAGAACGGCGGGCATTGTCAGCCCGGGGTCTGGGACAGTCCGCCCGAGGTAGCCCGATTCGAGCTCGAACGTTTTATCAGATCCGGGAGCTCATCCGCAAGCACGACATCCCCTGCGACTGGCACGTGGTTGGCGGTATACATACAGCCTACTCCCCCGTCGTCCTGGATGCCGTCAAAGAACATAGAGCGGCTACAGCAGTATCCGGACCTTCGGGACGAGGACCAGCTCGCCTCCAGGCGCATTCCCGGGGCTCTGGCCGCTGTGTAACAACCCATGGCGGCCCAGCTCTATCCTTACAAGCTTGTCGCCTGGCTCCTGGAACGGCTCCTCGACAAGCACGACGTCGCAGCCTTTAACCTGCAAACCAACACGCCTGTCACGCGTATTCAGCCATACGGAGAACGGGGTTCGTCATCGTGGCTGGTGCACACGGATAGGGGACAGGTGCGAACGAGGGATGTGCTCCTCGCGACCAATGCGTATACCTCGCATCTCGTACCCAATATGACAGGCCCCATCACACCTGTTCGAGCGCAGGTCTGCGCGCTTGAGCCCCCCCCGGAGGCAACACAGCTCCCACATAGCTACGTCTGGATCAAGGGCGCCGATCACCAGTATTTAATTCAAAGGGGGTCAGAAGATGCCCAGAGCAACGATGGCGACCACGAAGGGGCCAGCAAGTCGCAACCGGAGGACAGTTTCATCGTATTTGGCGGGGAGAGGCCAGCGGCGGAAGGCCGAGACGAAGGCATATCATGCGACGACGAGGTTGACCCGGCCGTGAGCCGAGCTCTGCAGAGGTGTACATGACGCCCTTGCGCTGTGCCCTGACAAGAACAAGTCCAACAAATCGCCGGAGCCGCTTCATACAGCTTACGAGTGGACCGGTATCATGAGATACTCAAGCCACTGGGATCCGTGGGTTGGGCGCGTGCCCGGGGGTTTGCTAGAGGACGAGTGTACCGCCCCAACCCAGGCCACCGGCACGGTTGTTCAGGGCGGGCTGTAGGTCAGTGCATACACGGGGCACGGGATGCCAGTGGTAGCAAGGTGTGGTGTCGCCGTCGCCCAGATGATGTCGGCCGCCAGGACGGCGTGCAGGTCCCCAAGCAGTGGATGGCTACCGACAGCCGAGTACAGGCGGCGAGATCAGCCGTGCTACCTAAGACGCTGGATGAACTTATTCGACACCTACCGGCCAAATAACAACCAGCATGGAATGTATTTACTAACCACGCGCAGCGTGATTAAACAAGTACCACCATGTCAAGTGATTTGACAAACCATCATCGTAGTAGAACGGGATACTTGGTATCATATCGTATCGCAGCACCGCAGCACAGACGCGCGCAGCTATGTTCACATAATAACAAGGTGCGAGCAAAGGTAATAGCCAGCCGCCCGTAGAACCGACGGTACACAGAAGTCCGGCGGGACGTCCATTATGTGTCTAGCTACCTACGCGGTCACCTTGCGTTTATACCGCTCGTAATCATCATACTGGACAGCCAGCGTCAGCGATATAGCTAACAAGGGGTTATACGAACAATGACGACAAGAATGACAAACGACTCACCGCGTCTTGGAGTGCTTGTCTCGCTCCAGGCCAGGCGCGTCTGCCGCAGCCAGGAATGTTCAACGGGTTGGTCTCAAACACACGCCATGCGTGGTTGCTCCCTGGGCCCTTGGTCAGCCACCTGTGCAGCCGTCTGTCCCTGAACCAGAGAACGCAGTTCTGGAGGCTAAGCGAGTGGCCGACGTTGTCGTACATGCCCGTGCCAGCCATGTTGTGTAGGAAGCGGTAGAGGCTGTACGGCTGGATCAGGCCTGGGTGTGCCGACGGCTCCTTAGCCCAGCCTCGGCGCCACCAGGCGTGGTGCTTGTCGACGGCCGCGTTCATCTCGGCCTCCGTCGGCAGCCGCGCTGGTTCTCGATAGGGCGCGGCCGATGGTAACTTCCCAGGCTCAAGAGACCCTGGCGTCAGTTTGCTCGCCACGTCGGCCGCCCAGACCTGTGACACTGCCGTGGAAGCCAGCTCAGATACGCACCACGCCGTCTCGAACGTCGACATCCAACTCAGGATGGCCACCGACGACGCCCACCGCGGAGGGAACAGCATGTGATACAGCCGTGGCAGTGTGGGCTTCTCCCTCGTCCCGACCCCTGCACCCTTTTCCTCACCGGCCTGCTGCGCTTTGGTCTGGCGCTGATCCGCTGCCATTTTCAGGGGCAAGCCGCAGCAGCCGTCCATTTCCAGCTCGGGCATGATGCCAAAGTCAAGCGTGTACCCGGTGCAAAACACGACGGCGTCAACTCGGATAGTCGAGCCATCGTCTAGCAACACCTCGTCTGCGCCCGCAAACTCTTTGAATCCCCGGACGGGTGTGACGCGCCCGGAATCCAGAGCCGAGATAAAGTCGTCGTGCACCGTCGGGTGCGCGAACTCTGTCGGGCAGGGCATCAGGCGCCACTCGCCTCTGATCTTTTCTTCCGCGCGCAGTCGTCGTCGCCGCTCCGAGTCTCCGTCTTCTCTCCGAGGCCGTTGACGGGCTGCATCTCCGACCATGGTCTTGACCAGCAAGCGCTTCTCCAGCCTCATGGCGAGCCACGGGAGCCTATCGCGCAATAGATACGTGAGCTGCGCCTTGGGCCACGGCTTGGGGTCAGTGGGGATGCCATCATCGTCGTAGCGCGAGATGATCATTCTCCCGCTGCGATACGACTGGTACACGCACGAAGCTTCGCGCGCGACACTGAGCGATACGTCGCATGCCGTGTTCCCGAGTCCGACGACCAAGACTCTCTGCCCGGCAAATTGCTTGGGCCTGCGCCCCGTTTTTGTGTTAACATAGTTTCGTCAAGCTTGGAGTTGGTAGTTGAGCCGAGAGGCTGAGGGGGCCGCATACTCGCGATAGTTTTGTCCATGGATGACCGCGCCTTTGAACTTGTTCCTGCCCGGCATCTGCGGCCACACGGGCAGGGTGTCGGAACCAGTTCCGAGTACAACCTTGTCGAAATGTACGACTTCTTCTTCACCATTCTCTTTGGCAATGTGAACGTTCCACCCTGCGTCAGCGTCGTCACGGAGGACCACGCGAACCGTTGTATTGAACCGAATGTACTGATGGAGCTGGAACTTTGTCGCGTACGCCTGGAGAAACTCTGCAACTTGCGACCCTGTCAAGTATGGCGGCCAATCTGACGCCAATGTTAGGAATTAAGAAGGGAAGGGGGGGGGGGGGGGACGCACCGCGAGGTATAGGAAAATCACTGAAACCAGACTACGTAACCACGTTGTATCAACACACGACTCTGGGAGGGCAAAATACATGACTGACTGTGAATCTGCTTGTGTTGGTGATGGTCTCCTGGATGACGGACGTGTAACTGGCATTCTGGCTCTTGGACCACACGCCGCCCACGCAATCTCGTCTTTCAAAGCCCTGGACACCAAACCCTTCTTCGCGCAATGCTTTGATGGCCGTCAGGCCGGCCGGGCCTGCAATCAGTGTCAGCCAGTACTCACTGACAAAGAGCGGATGATAGCTACCAAGGCCGATCACGGCAACCTTGACGTCCCCCATGCTGGTCGACGTAGCCGAAGTCCCGGACATCGAAGCAAACTGCGTGCTCGGACAGAACACGCTGGCCTATGTCGGTTCAAGGACGAACTCAGAAAGGCTTCCCGGCTTCTAGTCAAGGAGGCGACATGGAAGCGGTGCCATGGTTGCGACCGACAGCAATAAGAGAGTCTTCCTCTTCCTCTGCCCCCTAGCCATGTCTTGGCTCCCAACGTTCACACTCGGACGAATCGCGGATGAGTACACATGCACCGAGGGACATGCATGGGTAACAGGGCTAGCAGCCGCTCATGTATCCATGCCAACTGTGCCGCCCGCAGCATGCAAGCCCGCAGCAGCGAGGAGAAAAAGCAAATGAACCCCCACCGGCACGGAAGCCCGGCAAAATAACTAAACGTCAACGGAATCTGGATGACAGGGTTCTGAGTGAAGTTCGGATCCGACGAAGGCCTGCGGGAGAGACCCGAGTACATACCTGATGCAGAGTACTCTCCCCACCACTGTTGCTCAAGTACGTACCTACCTACCTATACACTCCGTCGTAGTGGCAGTGTACGCGTACTAAGTACATACCACTGCTGCCACACAAACATTGGCTAGCTTCAACTGCCCAATTAATTCCTACATAACACCCTTTGTTGGCCCTCTGGCCCGCCGTAGCCGCCCGTCGAGACTCCAGCCGCCCTCCGCTCTCAGCTCCCGCTCCTTCTCCACCCACGCGCCAGGTCATGTCGGCGATCGTCACCGGCAGGAGCTCGGCCCGGCGATCGAGGATCTGCTCGGCTCCTTACACAGTACTCGTCGATCACCCGCTGCCGCTGATGCTGATCTGCTCCTTGGCGGCCAGGAACTGCTCTCCATGAGAGCGGGGTCCGTGGCGGTGAGGCCAGCCGACGCGGATGCCGGGAACGCCGTCGGCCTTGGACATGGAAGACACCGTGATGACGTGGCTTCCGAGCTCAGCGCCCCCGAGCACCGTCGCCTTGGCTTGGTCGCCATGATCCCAGGATGCGTAGTCGAGGTCGACATACGTCTCGTCGATCAGGAGACAGCAACCGGCATCTTTGGCCAAGGACGCGAGCGACTGGAGTTCCGACGCGCTGCACTTGGTGCCGGTTGGGTTGTTGGGAGAGCAGATGCTGATGAGCTTGGTGGCACCGGGGCGGATGGCGGGATGAAGCAGGCCGCGGTAGGGGGTAACGATTGTGACGAGCAATGCCATAAGAAATGATGGGTCCCATTTGGACAGCAAGCTTTGAATGGAGATAACAACTAGTGTGCGATCATGGCTTCAACCTCAAAGTTGGTACCGGATGTGGAAGCTCGTGAAGAGGGACACTAGCATTTGTGAAACTACCCGACTACTGACCTTGAGCATCGTCCTTTCGACAGAGCCCAGAAACCATGCCGCCCCCCGTGCTATTATCTGGGCCGGGATGCGGGAAACCTCCAGCAAAGATTCCTACCAACGAGAGCGGAGAGCCCGAGGGCTTGATTCCCAACTGACCACTCGCCTGGCTTCCTTCTCCATTCCCGTCCTGTTTCGAACATTGATTACAGACCTACAGCTCCCGATGAGTAGCCCTACTACCTCCGTACTCGGTACACTGTCCCACAGCAGAGACAGACACCGGCGGAGACACCACTGGTGTAGCACTGGTCCTTCGCCCGTGCGTGTCCAGACCTCTTTCCATCCTGTGTAAATGAATTTCGCACAGCCGACGGGTAACATCTTGGCGGCTGTGCGGCACGTCAGATTCATAATCTGAAGCTGTAATTACGTGATGTCTCTCTATGGTGTTCGCAACAGTGACTTGAGGATCACCCTTCCGCTGGCCAATGAACCAGGGTCTGTTGAAGAGGTCATGTTCATGTAACTATGTAACGATATCGTCGGACTACACCGTATGTACGGCATTATGATTGACAAGGGAAGCTGATCCTAACCAGCTTTGGCTTTCAGCCGTCAACTTCACCGAGATCGGAGTCATCGGACCCTGAATTGAACGGCTTGCATGTTTAAAAAGCTCTCTGCAGTGTAGCCACGTAACGGTATTGTGGAACCGCACTATCATTGACGAGGCGAAACCGATCCTAACCAGCTTTGGCTTTCAGCTGTCAACTTCACGAAGATCGGACTCTTGTTCAGCGGCATGCATGCATCATCATGCATGCATGCCTCCACATCCAGCTATGTAGGAGTCCGTCGGTAGGGTGGCATTCCGTGGCCCCCTGAAGGTAGACGAGCGATCTCCAGATCAAGATCCTCTCGTGGTCCCCCCCCCTGGGCCTTGGTACTGCGCGGCAATGGCACAATAACCCGGGTACCGAGTGACGCGACCCCACCCGAGACCCCAGATACACCATACGTGTAACCTCCCACTGCTTGATGTTTATGCACTCTCTCCCAAGGAGATGATAACGCTAACAAAATAAGCTGGCCCCGGAGTGCAAATAGTCAACTTTGTCACTTCAGAAGTTCAGAGCACCGCCGCGTCCCATGTACAAGCTCGTTTGGGGCCGGCCATGCTCACACCACTACCATGTAAATACCAGACACTGCACCGTCGGCAAAAAGCCGCTCATTGTAATTCACACTGGTTCAGACGGCCCTCGGTGAGACGCATGGCACCATCATCCTGACCCGGCAGTAGAGTCGTGAGCAAAGCGGGACGGGACGACCCGGGTGCAGATTGGATAGGTACGTACCGAAGTAGGCCATAGATGCGCGTTCGCATTTGTTTCTATACAAGGTAGAAACGGTTGTTGATCTTACGCCCTCCGTGGCACGACTCATCGATCCACCTGCGCTACCTCACCTGAAGACGATCATCTTGGCCGGGGAGGCGGTCACGGCAGACGACGCGGCGCGATGGTTGGGCCGAGCTCAAGTGGTCAATGCCTACGGACCGGCTGAATGTGGCATCAGCACCATCGAGAACATTGGTCCTCGGCCCACAGCGCTAGACGAAGCCATTAGCATAGGGAAAGGGGCTGGGTGTGTTACGTGGATTGTGCACTAGCATAACCACAATCATCTATTGCCTCCAGGGCGCGTTGGCGAGCTTCTTCTTGAAGGGCCCCTTGTTGCCCGAGGCTACCTTCATGACGAACAAAAGACGGCCGCAGCATTCATCCACGACCCGTCATGGCTGTTAAGGGGTACGCCGAAGCACGCTGGGCGGCATGGGCGGTTGTACAAGACTGGAGATCTGGTCCGATATGAGAAAGATGGAAGGCTTACGTTCCTCACGTTCCTCGGGCGAAGGGATACCCAAGTGAAGATTCGTGGGCAGCGAGTCGACGAAGTCGAGCATTGCCTTCGCAGCCACATGCCAGAGGTGGAACAGGTTGCTGCAGAGGTCGTCGTGCCGCGTGGAGAGAACTCAAGCCTTACGTTGGTTGCGTTTCTTGAAATGACCTCCAAGGGATCAACAAAGACAGGAAGCCCCAGTCCTGCCATTGTTCGCATTGGCGCTGAGGCAGAGATGAGTCTGACGAAACAACTGCCAAGGCATATGAGGCCGAGTGCATACATTTCGGTGCAGGAGCTTCCGCTAACAGCCACGGGAAAAGTTGACCGGAGACGCTTACGAGTGGTTGGGGCGTCCTTTTCTCTCAAGGACTTGGTCCAGAATCAAGCGGACGGGCAAAGGCTTAACAAGCGTTAGCCAGAGTCGGAAAGCGAGCGACAGATGCAGAAGATATGGGCCCGGGTGCTGAGGATTGAAACGGCGAGCATTGGGATGGACGACAACTTTTTCGAACTTGGAGGGGACTCAATTGGTGTGATGGTAGTTGTGGAGGAGGCTCGTAAGGTTGGGTTGGACCTCACAGTTGCCCAGCTGTTTCACCACCCTGGTCTGTCTATCTCGCCAGCTGCAGGTCGTACCTAGTACATTTCAATCTTGGTTTGCTTTCCCGATCAGATCGAGGTTCATGGAAACGCCGCATTGCGGTCTATCATCGATGAAGCTCATACGTGTGTTGTTGACGGCGCTTCTGAAGAGAGATACCTATCTAGATAACGTAGATAAAACGCCAAATGGCTGCTCCTCGTAGCAATGTCCGTCCGCACGTGTCTTAGTCACGCACAAGAGGATAGGTAGCTACGCGTATCGAATGGCTACAAGCCGAGCATCGTCAAGTTCTTGAAGGTAATGGGCGATACAGGTGCGGTTGACAGAGCAATTATTCCTTTTGATCGCCATCCAGCCGTAGGTATATGGGTGGACCCGTCTCTCAATCCCACCTGCTCCATCTAAGTACCTAGCTATAGTGAACGAGACCGGAGATGGAGAGCCGTTATCTGAAATTTCAGTCTATTTAAGTTGCCTTCCCGAACAGCAGCCTGCCCGCACCCGGTCCATGCTGGCTGAAAAGCTAGCGGTCACCTGGCATTCTCTCTAACTCCTTAGCTATCTCGCCAATAGCTCCCAATGCTTGACCAGCCTCAACCAATTTACGGGACCTTCGTGCAAACATTGCAAGTATTTTAACGGACTTTTTGTGGAGTCCCTCGAATGTCGCGCCCCTTGCCGTCAGATAATTGACAATTTTGATATAATGAATCAGTAGGCGTGGATGAGGGTTTGAAGAAGCCCTCTTGGCGTACCCTTGGAGAACCGTCTCAAGTGTCCACCGAAGTTGGTTTGCGTTGAGTGGTCTGTCGATTCCTTCCTCCATCATGGTAATGAACAGGGCTTCCTCTACCTGGAGCTTTTCTTCGCCTAGCGACTGAAGTCTATAAGCCACTGTATCGTGCGTGTTTTCCACCGCGTCTTCGTCCACAGTCTCGTCGGCGGTTTGTTGTTCACCGTCTAATTCCTCCACGTCCGCCCATGTTTCTTCCACCCCGCCCGCGCCCACCAAGACTTTCTCGTCGACTTCGCGCCCCATACCGAAGAGGACCCACTCGAGGGGCGATATCCGATAGCTTCCCATGCAGTCAGGGTCGTAAATGCCCTTCCTCCGCTATGGCCCCTCGCCAGGATCTGCCCAGGGTCCCCATTCGGCCCCGCGGCGAAGAAGCGACTGGGCAAGGCCGAGGTATTGCCGTTTCGTCGCCCAGATTGTATAGAAGAGAGGCATGAATGGGCAGGGTATTGTCCCGGCTTTACCGTTACCTAAACGCCCGTCCTGACTGACGCCATAATAATCCCAGTGCTTTGCTTCGTTGACGTTGTGCCCCTGGTCGAGTAGGAATTTCAGGACGGCCACCCGACCTGCCTGCTGCTCCTCGGACACGTACAAGTCCAGCCCCCAGTCGCAGAGGGCGGCAAGGACACATGTTCGTTTTCCAGCCGAGCCGTCTTTGTCTGGGTGTGACCAACCAACCTCGGCGCCTTCGTCAATCAGAAGCTCAACAAAGTCCTTGCGTCCCTGATGAGCGGCCAGATCAAGAGCGGTGACTCCGAAGGGGACGGACCTTTTGGGGCCAACTGCCCCCTTCGACCTGTTTAGACAGATGGGACCCCAGGTCTGTTGATCATGTTTAGTGGGTAGGAATTGATCGAGTATTGCTTTCAACATGTCGATGTTCCCGCTTAGGACGGCCAGCATAACCGGCGTGGGCTCGTCGATTATTACCAGATTCTTTTCATGGCCCGACGGGCAAAGATTGACGGGGACTCGCCTCCAGTACCACGGCCCGAAAAGATGGGTTCCGTTTCCCTGAGCGCGGTATTCCGGCATGGCGGACAGAGCAACCTTGACGTCGCCCATGAGGATCGCCCAGTGGCACGCTAACATCTCCGGGTTCATTCGCATGAAGGGCTGGTCTTTGTAGCTGGTATTCAGATAGGCGAGTGTTCTCGCGTTGCGTGCGTCGGTGCGGAACATGAGTTTCTGAAACCGGCGAGTCGTGTCTCCATTGGGGTCTTTGCAGCCTACGTAGGCTCTCATCAGGTTGTGGATGTCCCACCAGTCGTGTAATTGATCCGCGATATACAAGACAATTTCAACTGGAAGCGTCATGAGTGCGGCGAGACTGGGCCCGGGGGAATCCATGGCGGGTAGTAGATAGATGGTCCGGCGGTCGGGGGATTTTATATCGATTCGTACGAGAAGGGATCTGATGGCCTCTGCCGACTCGCGAGTTTCGTGATAATACAAGTGAAGGGATCCCGGATAGCTACCTAGGTACCTAGGTATCGGAGGGTGCCATGCTGAGAAGTATATATGGCCTCGAAAACACCAATCGAGGGCAACGATTGTTATAGTCTGACTACAACTTGAACAACAAGATTGACGTAGTGGCATCACTGATGATGCCTCTGCGGTCACCAAGGGTCACATCGTTGTTTGTCTTTGTGAGGAATGCCACTGCGCTGCTTGGACAACGTCTCTGTCGGAGAACAACCGTTACTTCCGCGGATTATATCAGTCGCCTTGGCCATTCCCGCATTGGACTTTATGGGCGAGAGCTGGTACTATCAGCTGTAAGATGTAACATCAATGACGTGGGCTCGGGCGCACCAGTCATGTGTTGAAAACTGGAGACGTTATGTTATTGATGGGCAGAGTGCGGAGCAGTTGCCATCCCGCACGATTTACTGTGTAGATGATTCTTCACCCCGACGTTTATTGAATTCTTAACATACCTAGTTATCAGTATGATTGCTTGGCTTGTACGGAATAGAAGACTTCCTCTTTAAACATTCATTGTTGTATACACGTATTCGAGCCACCCTCGACTGCCACATGAGCAAGCCGCAGTGGAGCTTGGCATGCAACGTTTGGGTGGTGTCCAAGAAAGGAAATTTCGCACGAGACGGAATGGGAAAAAAGCCAGCAGGGGCTGAGTGAGTGGATTGACTGGCTCGGAAATACTACGGGGCCCCACTCAATGGGACCCGCCCAGGCAAAGAACGCCGGCAATAGGAAATCGGCACTCTGCCAATGTCGAATCCGCCGCCCCTTCATGCAACAAGGAGGATGGGAACTTTGGCAATTTGGGGGCCGCCCGTTTTGATGTGCCGACATTTTCCAAACACTTGGTGAGTCAGTCTCTTGATTTTGTCGCGCTTACTTTGTACCTACGTATTGTGTATGCGAGGCATTAACTACCTAGGGCGAGGTACGAAGGCGCGCAGCTTGGGGTCTTCAATCTGGAAGCTGCGCGGGAAGTTCCAGTGGCCAAGGTCGCGTGCCCCCCTTGCACTAATAAAAGGATGTTAAAGTTCTGACGCGGGAGCGCGGCACCACGGTTGCGAGTCTCATGGAGTCGGAACTCGGGGTCCAGTCCTCCACTTTCAAACTTCAAAGCAGACCAATGACGTAATGCCATTGGAAAGGACATTGTCGGCTCCATCAATGATCAGTTCGAGCATTGCCTCCTGCATCTCCATCTCGCAATCGGTTTCCACAAGAAGTCCGGATCGGGCAGTCGGACTACCGGCGTGCCGCGTTAGGTACCTCGGTAGAGAGTCGGGCAGGCCCAAGTTCTGGATCATGGCTGTCTCGGAGGTCTGAAAGAGTGGTACAAGAACCCCGTCTGCCTTGGTGCTTTACAACCAACCATGTCGATTTTCACAAGGATGGAAGGGATTAGGATCCAACCCCTTTGTCGGTGTGGTCAGGGAGGCAGGTGTCTAGCTGTGAGGGGACCGGAAGCAGTCTTCTAGGTGCATGCGACCATCCTCGGCGCGTCATGGCCATGAGATGCGCATCGGCGCATGGCTTGGGTGCACGGAGGTTGGACGGTCTCCGACCACAGTGGAGGTTCCAAGCTTGCGCCGTGCCTGTTGGAGATCATAGACCCCACAACCGCGTCTTTGTTTCCGTTCCGACGTATCCGGCCGAGTCTTGGAACGTTCTTGGCCGTCAGAAAAAACGTACCATTCGTTCCACTGTCGGCGGCCGAGGGGAGGGGCTCAGACTTCTTCGACACCTCCCGTACCGTGTGGTAAGGCTCTGGGCACCGGGCAAAGCGCCTTGTTGGCCGCAAGGTTCTTTATTTCAGACACAGTAAGCATGAACTGGGTGGGGAACAACGACTTGGAATAGACCCAGCGAGGAGCAGCCTGTCCGGGTTGCAAGCCCTATCATGAGTAAGATGGGCCTCCAGTTCAGACGGGATTGCAACTGCCCGCCAACCGTAAAGGTACGGCAAGCTTGGCAGTCTCGGCCGTCTTGTCTGATCTCTCCGTCCGTGGTTTGACTGACGTGAGTCCGGGTCTCATCTTTTCTTCTCTTCTCTCTTATCGGTTTGATACCCGGTTCGTTCCATCCCATCATAACCTAGGCCTCTCTGACGGAAGGCCAACCGCCTGCGTACCCCCGATTCACTGCTCGCGAACATGGCGCTCGGCGCCGTGCTGGAACCCTTGATCGTAGTCAGCTTGCTGGCCTTCGGCACCATCGTCAACCGCAACAGAAGCCGAGCCGTTCTCGCACGGTCATCATTATCCCCTAGCCGCCCGGAGCCATGGCAGCATCTAAAATACAGCTCGGACCCAGGGGATGAGGACGTCGAGACGGGCAGAAGCAAGGAAGACGAGCCCACCCTACTGCCCTCATCACTAAGCCGGTCCAGCAGCAGCTCGAGCAGCACACTCGCAGAGGACCTCTCCGCCGACAGCAAGGCCGTTCCCAGATGGCGTAAGAGGAGACTGCGCTTCATGGGTTGGGAGAAGGAGGTAACGACGCCCAACACCGAAATCTTCAGAGACCGTTTCCTTAGCCGGGTTCTCCAACGCTTCCCGTTCCTCGCCGAGGTCTGGTACTGGGCTTTAATCTACTGGGTAAGTGGTGCCAGCTCCCACGCCCCCCCCTTGGGCGACTTCTTTGTTCACACATCACCAGGTATATCAACTCGGGCGCGCCTTCACGGCAGTGACGCTCCAGGAATCTACCGTCAACACCGCCCGCGAGCATGGGCTCCAGGTTGTCCGCCTCGAACAGGCTCTCGGCATCTTCGTCGAGCCGGCCGTGCAGCAATGGTTTCTTGAGCGACCCACGCTCATGCGGTGGACCAACAAAACGTATTCGTTCATACACATCCCGGGCACCATTCTCTATCTCATCGTACTCTACCACATCACGACCGCGAGGCCGCGACACAAGCTGCAGGAAGAGCATGGGGGGAAATATGTGCTTGATAACTGGCGGGACCTTGCGCCGCCGTTCGGACCGGCCATCTTTGAGCGGAGGAGGAGGACCATGGCCATGTGCAACCTGCTCGCCTTCATCGTCTTCACATTCTGGCCATGCATGCCGCCGCGGCTGTTGAGCGATCCGACTTATATGGGCGAGTACGCCGAAGAGGCCAAGAGCTTTGGCTTTGTGGATACTGTCCACGGCGCCGACGGTGACAGCAGCGTGTGGACCACTAATCGATTTTGCAACCAATATGGTAAGTGCCAGACAAACGGTTCCTCGTTCCACCCCAGTAAACTGCCCAACTAACCTCCTAATCAAGCTGCCATGCCTTCTCTCCACTTTGGCTACTCCTTCCTGATCGGCCTCACCATCGCCGCCGTGCCCCTGAGGAAACGCGGCCAGTTCGGCTGGAAGCGTCTCGCCGTGGTCGGAATCGGCATGATTTACCCTGCCGTTATTTTGACCGCCATCGTTGCGACGGCAAATCACTACATCCTAGATGCACTGGCGGGCGCCATCGCCTGCCTGCTTGCCTGGAACTTTAACGACCTCTTGCTGAACCTCTTGCCCCTGGAGGACTATTTCTTGGCGTTGGTGAGGATACAGAAGCCTTGAGCGGGCCTGATTAGCGGAGGACCGTTCACGTCTTGACTTTATTGCTCATGGTTAGTTGGGGCTACTCAGGGTAGCTCACGCGGGATTGAATGTTGCGTTAATATCAGGTCAGGAGTTTGGCGGATATGATGGCACATTGCTGGCTAGATGGGATACCAAAGGAGAGAAATCAACAAACTCGGGCTTTGGTTGGCTGTATCCCCTGGCGGAGTATTAAGTTCGCAATATAAGCAATTATACCGGGCACGCTCGGATCGTAGGCTAGTATCTCGATCTTAAGAACAGTGGGCGCGATGAGAGGACGGGCACCTCTACGACACTCACCCATTTCCCTCCACAGACCCGGCTTTCAAGCCCTAAATAACCAGCTAACCCACCAATTCAAACAATCCGTTACTTCTCTCAACATCCCACACCTATCGTTTCCAACGAATACCACCATCCCCTCCCCCAAGCGCAACACCCCTATCAACCCCCCACCACGTACCATAATACCCTAACCCATACCCCCATATCACCACCCACCACAACTACCTTACCCTTACGCAAGCCCACCCAAGCCCATAAGCCCGTGCCAGCTACCCAACCACCCCGACCCACTCAAGCAGGCAAGCAGGCAGCACACCTAAGCACTCTCCTTGTCCTCTTCATACCACGCATACGCAATCGCGTCGTCGTCGTCGCCGCCCGACTGCCCGGCGCCTTCCACCGACGGGCTGCGGCGGCGGTCCCCCGCGGTGGTGGGGACGGTGGTGCGGACTGTTGGGGGTGGTGGTGTTAGTGTTTTGGGGGCGATGGGGATGTGAATGGGGATCTGGGGATGTGAATGGAGATCTGGGGATGGGGATGGGGATGGGGGAAATTGGAGGGATGCGGTTTGAGATGGGAGAATGTCTAGAGGGAGGGAGGGTGGCGGGTTAAGACATACCCTCGGCGGCGTTCTTGGGGGCAGGGATCGCGAGGCCTAGAACCGCGGGGGCAAGCAGGCTGATGAGGAGGGTGGCGATCGGGCGCATGGTAATGTTTTGTGTGTACTGAAGGAATGGTTGGTGTGGGTGCGGTTTGAATTGTTGTTGGGGCTTTTGCTGGAGAACACCGAAGGGGGTTCTAGCAGAGACATACGTCCTGAGACCGGACGCGGTTGTGATACCAGGGGACCTTGCCGTATAAATCTCATCGGGCCCGGCCCCCATTGGCCCTTCATCGGCACCTGGGCTCGAGACGGACCAGGGCCCGCCGGTCCCGAGAACATCGAGAGTAAGCGGCAGTGCCTCGGCCTTGGGTCTCGCGTTGATGGTTGCCTTGCCTTACGAACCGAGAAGCGCCTTACCCGCCGCATGCACCCGTACACCACACAACGCGGGGGTTCCGATGATCACAGCAGTTGTAAGCCAATGATTGGTCTGGGCCGCGAACGGTGTTCGGCAGGCGCCGCTGTTGCAGGCCAATGACATGCAGGAAGTGCGCCTTGACAAGTGCAGGATGGGCCCGGAGGTGGACGTTGAATACTCTATAGGCTCGCAGGACAACATGCAGGACTTTGAGGGCTTCGCCCCCTGCAACGGCCGCATGATACACAGTGTGCATAGGTTGAAGTACATACATTAGACCAAAAGCAAGGACGGGGATATAGAAGTGGCGCAGGCGGCGTGGTTCGCTGACTCGCGGGCACGAACTGTGGGCTGACCCCGAAGTAGCTGATAGGATCATATCGGCCGAGCTCGATTTCTGCTGTGTTACCTTCATGTTCAGATCCCTCAATTTCAGAACTGAGGATTTGGTCCTCGCAATAACTTATCTAGGTACCTTACGGAAGACAACGAGAATCGACCTTCCATGAGGCACGGGGCCATGGCTTCATCGAGCGAGCGTCACAGTTCCGAAAGTCCAGGGGAAGAGTCAGCCCCTTTCATCCCTGGAACAAACAACAGGTCTGATTTGGAAAAGGACTCTTCCTTTTTACCGTCTAGTACACAGCCACACCGATGGCAGCGTCTCGGATACATTTCGTTCCATGGCGCCCTCATTCTTTTCTACACTGTCCTATTCGTTGTCTTTACCTTCAGAAAACATGAGTGTGGCGCCCCGCCGCTACATGAGTTATCATTGTATTGTATGTCTGGGGTGAAGCCAGACGTCCCGTCCACGGTACTATTGTAGCAATTGTAACTGACATGTATCCTCTAGCTCCGGCCGAACAAGTTGTTGACTACGAAAAGAGACCGGTCGATGGATTGGCAGAGGGGAGCATATATGCCGGTTATCCACGGGCAGAGTCGGAGGCTGCCTGGAAGAATCTCATGGAAGGTCAGTACTGGCCCCGGTCTTTGCTTGACGGGAGGGAAACAAGTGACGCCTAACATCCCATATAGGTACCAACATCAAATTGTACCCTGATGAGATGGGAGAACTCAACGAAACATCCCTGAAGATGAGGGACGGATCGGGGTCGTTGGCAGTTCTCGGCGTTTATCATGAGCTCCACTGCGTGGTAAGATGGCGTCCGAATGTGTTGGCGATATGTCTCCGGTAACTGACAACCCATCCAACCAATATTTTAGAAGCGACTGCGGAAATGGTTTTATCGAGAGTATTACTACCCAAATCAGACTGAGCTCGAGTTCAATGAGCGTATGACGCACGCGGGTAAGTCGAGAATTCCGAGACTACCACCGTTAGGATCGGACGATCTCGCAGCAACCACTGACTATTGAGTGATTGTCCACCTCTAGATCATTGCCTCGAATTTCTCCGCCAGGCTTCCATGTGTCACGGCGATGTTACCGTGACGTCGTTTAAGTGGTTACACGATCAACAGGGGCATGCCATCGAACCGACGACAAAAGAAGGGGCTCTGCATCGGTGCGTCAAGTGGGACAGCCTCCAGACATGGGCAAGGTCGCGCCGTGTGGACTTGTTTGATCCCCATTTGCTTGTTCCAGAGTATGCCGGTGGTCATTAAATGGAGCGGGAACGAGGTTAAATATCTTGGAGAACAGGATCTACCATTGTTAATTCATGTGCAAAACCGTCAAACTATTTACATACCCTTGATGATCTACATGCATTGGCCACTCCTTGCCGCTGTTCCCCAAGCTACATACAGTTAAGAATTTACATGTCAACTGCTCACTGCTCAGTGATGGCCGGTTTGATTATGCGTCCTCCACTTCTGGGCCCAGCCGATGAGCCGCACGATATCCCGGCACTTTCTTGGGAAGCCCCACCCAGTAACGCCGTCAAGGTCGGGGTCGATGGGCTCAAGGTTGGTGTCGGCGTTACACATGATGGACTGCCGGAGGTAGTCGATGCAGTGACGGATGTGGCCGGGCTTTGCAAAATGGGCCGGCTCAGTTCCATCTACAGCCGCATAGTACCCATGACGAATGGCGTCCTATTTCGAGAGGTTAGCAGGTCGAGACGGCTTTCTCTGGTAACGGCTTTTTATGTTGTCTTACAAGGCAGTGAAGCTGGTGGAATACGGCAAGGCCATGGGGTACGGGGGAAATCTCGGGGTGTTGGATGAACCCCCGACCTCCTGTAAGGAGTTTGTGTAAGTAGAAGGCAACGTTGGTTAAAGTAGGTACCTCGGGGGACTCACGTGGAAACACCTTATCCCACCAGATCTGCGACTCATTGTTGCTGGGTCTCGCTGAAAACTGCCACCGGTATTTGAAAACGTGGTCGATGCGTCCAGGCGGCGCTGCGACAACCAAAACCAAGTATTAGTATCTTGCTTTACATACCAGTATCTTTCATTGAGGGTCCTTAAAAGTTTGAACATACAAAACCAGTCCGACTCAGCACGGTCCCTCTCGACGCGTCGTCCCCATGTGAAGCCCGCAGTTCCTGATACCAGGGCTGCGGCGGCGGCCACAAGCACGAGCGTGATAAGCCAGCACGCCGTTGAGTATCGTCTGTTTTGTAACCGTTGATCCAGGTCCGAAACTAGCAGCGGTGAACCGTCATGCTCAGCTGGGGTATGTTCCGCATCTTCCGGGACGTCTTGGGCAGGAACGCGCTCGTAGGTGATCTTGCTCGACATGGCTGACTTTGGCTCGGGGGCTTTCAGTATTGCTTTCAAGGTACTACTCCTAGTAGGCAGCTGGCGTTACAAGAAAAGCCGAGTGGCTTGAGGTAATCTCGATGCAAGCAGAGGATCGAGTCCCAATGGGTATGACCTCTCACAGAATTTGCGTAAGCGGCCATATTACGACTCAAGAGGACTCGGATTCCACGTGTAAGAGGGGCGTCATCCTTGCCTTCGCCAAGTACGGGGGCTTGTACAAACGGTAACCCATCGAGTTGGTACCTATATAAATGGGCACTGTGCCAGGCGGTCGATTTGGCCCAGCGGTTCGTGTGCGTCTGCGTGACCTAGCTTGAAAGCCTCCATCAGAAGCGCCGTTCCCGATAGGCCCGCTCAAAATGAGGAGTTTCCGGAACGCCCACCAAAAGGAAGGGTGACTGACCGGTTGTGTTACGAACCGTGCCGCACGAATACCGGCTCCGATCGGCACTTGAACATCTGATCATGAGTAAGCCACTGTGATAAGGCGGCACACGAATATGCCCGGCGATTCGTCAAAGATGTCTGGAAGGTCCTAGCCAAGAATGCAGAGGTAACTATACGGCGGCCGGCGGTTGGTAAAGGGAGGCACAGCTAGACGCTTTCTTCGGCCCGCCGCCCCAACCCCATCGGGGACGTGATCGGTAAGGCCTTTTGGTGTTGTAACACTACGTCGTAGGATTAAACGGGGACTTCCGTATGGGCAAATTCATTGATTACTCTACGCCGGTCTCGTTACACAGTGGGTGAGCGGTTGACGAATAGGGGTTCGCGGAACTGGCGTCTCGAATTCATGCCTCCCCTGTGCCGCGTAACGGAGCAAGGCCAGGTATTTTAACTCTCGATTCGAGTATGATATGTCAGGAGATCGACCGTTTATCGGCCCGGTTTTCACCCCTTCCACTCCGCCACCATCAGCCACAGGTTCGCACCAGCGGGTCGCTGCCCCCCCTTGAATTCGAAACGGGGGTCTGCGAGCTCGAACACCTTGGCCCAATCGTCGAGCTCTCGCTCATGAGAGTTCTGGAGCTCTGTCATGCAAAGGTCCATGGACCTACGAGTGTGTTGATGTCAGCTTAGCTGCATGCATTACTCCAAAATGGAAAGGGAAAAAAAGGGGGAGAGGAAAGAAACATACCGGAGGCGGTCTTCTTGCCACCTTGACAGGACGCCCGGCTGAGGCAGAACATTATCGTTCAACACAACCTTGGCGCCCGTTTTGAGGGCGGGGATTAGGCCACGGAGGATCTTGACGCAGTACTTGTCGGACCAGTTGTGCAGGATCCAGCGGAAGAAGTAGACATCCGCCCCCTTGACGGGTTGGTCTTCGAGGAGAAAGTCGTGCGCCATGAATTGCATGCGGTTTGCCACGTCGGTGGGGACCTCCTTCTCGGCCGCCTGGATGACGGGCTCGAGATCTTGGACCACGAACGAAAGGGCGGGAAACTGGCGGGCGATGGCAAAGCATGCGAACCCCTGGGAACCGCCGACCTGTTGTTGTTTGTCAACCCTGATCAGACCAGAAACAAACGCACAGGGACGATGGAACATACGTCGACGACGGTCCCGTTCCCAAGCTCTCCCCATGGGAAGCCATCAACAACATGGCTGAGCTCGAAGCCGGTGCCCTCGGTAAAAGCCCGCATGGCGTTGCCGAACCGACGGGCGCGCTCCGGGAACTGAGAGAACACCTGGTACACGGTTGCGTTGGTGCTATTCGCCAAGGCGAAACCCTACACCATTACACTCCTGATTAGAACCGGGCGTATGAACGCATGCCATTCCCACCAGATACAACGTACCGTCTCATTCGGTTCCTGCGAGCCTGGATACTTCTCCAGCGCGTTGCAAGTCTGGGCTGCGCCCTGCCAGAGGTCGTCGTTGCTCGCGCCCACCCAGTCGTGGATGACCGGGTCCTCGGCAAGCAGGCGCGACACGGCATTGTGAGCCACGACACCTGGGCGGGGTTCTACAAAGATGTCCTTGACGATGGCATGGCGGATGATCTGGCGGACATTGATCTCCGGCAGCCCCGTGGCCGCGGCAATGTCTCCAAACGAGGACTCAGTGCCGGGGGCGAAAGCATGCGCGAGGCGGAAACGCGCGATGGCTTGCTGGCTGAGAAGCTCGTTGTGCTGTGTTTCAACGGTGTAAACGTGAGACGGGAGGCATTACGGGTACCGATGGGGGATCTTGAAACGAACCGTGTAGCTCATGAGGTACTCCCGAGGCCCGAGAACCAGACGGCGTAGCTCCTGCGTGTCATCGACAATGGCAACGCGTGCTGCCTCGGCGTCTGTCTCTGTTTTGGGTACCAGGGTGTCCTTCGGTCCGTCGACGTCGAAGGATGGCGTGGGGAGACCATGGGAAGTTAGGTAACTCTGCAATTTGTCCGTGTTTGCGGCAATTCTCTTGGCCAGCTCGATGATGTGTGGTTCTGGAGAGGCCATGGTTGAAAGCGTTGGGTACTTAGTCACAGTAGTTACTGGCTGGGTAATCTGTTGCGCCGTGAAGCGAGGGTTGGCGATGGGAGGGATATTGTGGAAATGGTGTGGTGGCGACTGGATGCCTTCAGGTTGGGGTGTCTTAGGCAGGTGAGACCGTGAGAGCAAACATCAAATCGAATGTCACCTTATCTTGGTGTCCCGTCCCAACCGGCTTACATATCGGCCACGCACCGGCCTATGGCCTGCCTTGTACGGCAGTTGTGGCCCCCAACCGCGGCGCAAGCGGGCGGGGAATCAGACCCGAACGCCGTTGGTTCTGGCTAGTCTGCGGTCAGCCCCCAATGCTCCCCACACCACCGTCTCTAACTTTGCCTCGGGTGTGCAGGAGGACTGCGGTTAACCAATGTTGAACCGGAATTATTTGAGACACGGCAGGCTGAGAAAGCAAACCGTCGGCCATACATGTATCGAGTGGCGGCCCCCCCGGAAACGCGTCAGCATGACTGAGTTTTGCTGTTTTCTCCCTCCGCATCTTGTTAGCGTGACAGCTTCCTAGTCTCTGCCACCGCACAGTGCTGGACGCAAATTATTGCGGCTGCCAACTGGCAAAGTCGTCGCCATGGGTCTGTCTCTCAGCACCAACATCGCCATTGTGTGTGGCGTGTTTACAGCACTGCCCATCCTTGCGGTGGTTCTCAGGTTCTGGGCGCGTACCGTGAAACATAGCGGCCTTTCTGCGGATGACTATCTGATCATTCCCGGCCTGGTAGGTCAACAACGGGAGGGACACATGGTACAGTACTGTACCAGGCACTGACACCATATCTCTAGCTCTTTAGCGTGGCACTAAGCGTCAATAACATTGTCGGTATGTCCTCATTCATCCATTGGAGTGGTGTATATCTTTTGTATTCGGGCTTTTAGCTGATCCGGATCCTCACCAGCTGTTGCTTTGGGGAATTTGGGGGGTCACATACACACAGATGATGCTGGCAACATCGTGTTTGACAACACCTTAACTATTTTCTTGCAGGTAATTATGTGATGGCTTAAACCCTTAAGAAAGAATGAAACTGATCTTCGGTTCTTGCCCCAGACCGAATTCGCGACTCAACTGCTATCTGTGTTGTCGCTCGTCTTCACGAAGCTCTCAATCGTCGTCTTTTACCGCCGCATCTTCAAAGGCAAGATCTTCTCCATCGCCAGCACGATCTTGCTCGGAGCCGTGGCAGCCTGGGGAGTCGCATTCTTCTTCGCCACTCTTTTCGAATGCATGCCCATCCCCATGGTATGGAAGACGCTATTCGGGACCCCCGATCATCAGGCCGTATGCTACAACTACCTCCCCATGTTCTGGGCCACGGCCATTAGCAACATGATTATGGACGTCGCCATCCTGACTCTTCCGATGCCGTTTGTTTGGCGTTTAAACATGCCCCGGCGGCAGAAGATTGCCGTGAGCGCCATCTTTCTGCTGGGTGCTTTGTGAGTGTCTCCATGTATTTTGGTAATCCGGGCATATTTGGAGTAGAGACTAACTTGAAGGTACCTAATTAGTGTCGTGGGCATCAGCATCGCAAGAATCCACTTCTTCTTCGTGTCCTCGGACAGCTACGCAAATGCAATGGACATCACCGGTAAGGCAAATCACTAACACCCTTTCACATATAGCAGCCGGCTTTGCTAACCAGACCAACAGTGAACATTGCGCCAACCCTCTACTGGACCGTGATCGAGGCGGCCATCGCGGTGGTCAGCGCTTGCTTGCCCACGCTGCGGCCCCTCTTCACGGGCATCTCGCTGGAGGCGCTGCAGGACTTTGCGAGCAAGTTCTCGCTCCGCAGCGGCACCAAGTCGCCCAGCAGCCTCAGGAGCAACCCGGCAAGCACGGCGGCTGCGAACAACATGTGGCAGTTGTCGTTCCCCAACCACAGCGCATCGTCGTCGGCCAAGATCGTGAACCGGGCCGAGGCGGTGCGCAACCCGAGTTCGGAGGAGGCCCCGTTTGAGCTGCGAGATCATGCCGGTGGCATTGTCGTGTCAAAGGCGGTTCATCAGGAACGTCATGATGCTTAGGTGGTGGGGTTTGCCGGGAACGATGTAATCCAACTTGCAGAAGGGTTGTCGTGCCTGGGATTTGGCAAAAAATATTACCGTGCACTTCAAGTATCTCAGTAATAGACGGGATGGAAGCTACAACCGCCTTCTAGTTCTTTTGGCAGTCTTTCCATCTGCTAGGTACGCAACCGTAACGTCGTGAACTTCGCAGTCGACGCGGGGTTCAGGGGGGAGATAAATGCTGAGACGCAGACTCCTCATGGGTGAATGAGCGTTGCGTATACCATCTTCGCCTTCCCGCAACGCTCCCACGGCGACTTGTCCCAGAAAAAGGGGCAGAGACACAGGGGTTAGGGGTGGGGGTTGAGCGGGCGTGGTCGCCCTAACCCTGGGTAAGCGAGCTTCGGTGAGTCAACGAGCGGGGTTGTTCCTGTTGGTGTTGGTTGGTGATGGTTGGTTTGCCTTGCTGCCTGGTTGCCTGCCTAGCTGCGTAATAAGGGTCCCGAGGTCCTGTGCAAAGCCAATCTATTCCCTATGCATGGTTGTTATTGAGTCACCACACACAATCAGGGGAAGTTGGGTCGACCGAGTTGTTTGGAGACGTTTGCTCAACTGTGCAACTCTGAATTTATTGAAAGTGGTGTGACAGAAGGTGGAGTCATGTTCAATTGCCATGCTCTCATTCGACCGACCAACTCCGCCACCTTCTTCAATCCCTGACCAGGCACACCAGGGTCTGGAGCTGAGCGTCACTGAGGGCTGCTTGACTTCATGACGATTTCTTGACCTGAGAAGGGAGGAAGGCTGAGGAGAGGTTATGGTATAAAGGATTCCGGCCTGCATATTTCTCAACCGTTTAGGGTTTTTTTCATCACATCCGACTGCCAATCCGAGCAATTACCAACAACAAACATCTCTGAGTCACCTGTTCCTGCCTTTTCCAAACTCATCAGTGTCATCACAGTCCTTCCTTCCACTTTCACCCCGCTTTGTGCTTGTTATTAGGTGTTGGAAGCAAGACCTGACGGCATTGCTCCATCTATTTAATAACCCACACCGTCGTCATACTCGGGCACATTATCACCAGCAGTTCATCATCTTTGACTTTACTATTCACATTTCAATACCACTGCACCGGTGAACTTTCCCGAAGCAAGACCACATAACAACCACAAAACCACCCAAGATGGCTCGCAGCGACCACATCTGTGGCCTCTACTATGTTGTTCCCGGCCGACGTATTCCGGAACGCAAATACCTTCCCCAGCTGTCACTCTCGGCCGAGACCAAGATTGTCTCGTCGACTAGCCGGACCACCCTGACCCAGAACTTCGTCAATCCCCGGTCCGAGGCCATCCCCGAACTCAGATACACATTTCCCCTCTACGAAGGCGTCTCTGTTGTCGGCTTCGTGTGCACCATCAACGGCGAGCGGGTCATCCGCGGCGTGGTTAAGGAGCGCGCCGAGGCGAAGCAGACCTACCAGGCCGCGGTTGACCGCGGCGAGACTGCCGGCCTTTTGGAGCAGCTACCGGAAGCCAGCGATGTTTTTACCACCACGGTGGGGAATGTTCCCGCAGACGCAACTCTGAAAGTCGAGATTGTGTATCTTGGCGAGCTGAAGCAAGATGTCGAGGTCGACGGAACCCGCTTTACTATCCCAACTGGGATCGCACCCCGGTACGGCAACTACCCCGGCGAGCTGCTGTCGAGCCCAGTCGATACAAAGGGCGGAATTAGCATCGTCGTTGACGTTGAAATGCCCGACGGTTCGAACGTCAAGAACGTCCAGTCGCCATCGCACCCCATCTCCGTAACGCTAGGCAACACCTCCGCGGGCGCCGCCAGTGGTGCCGACATGTCTCTTCGGAAGGCATCGGCCACTCTCACCCTGTCCACCACGGAATTGAGCGACGATTTTGTCCTCCAGGTGGTCGCCACCAATACCGGGAACCCCATCGCCGTTCTCGAGACACACCCGACCCTTGCCAATCACCGCGCTCTGATGGCTACCCTGGTCCCGAAATTCAACCTTCCCTCCGCGAAGCCCGAGATCGTATTCCTCTGTGACCGGTCCGGTTCCATGAACGGTCCCAATATTAAAAATCTCAAAGCCGCCCTGTGTCTCTTCCTCAAGTCGCTGCCCGTGGGGGTCAAGTTCAATATCTGCTCCTTCGGCTCACGCCACGAGTTCCTCTTCAAGGACGGATCGCACACCTACGACCAGTCCTCGCTCGAAAAGGCCACGCGCTATGTCGACAGTTTCGGGGCCGACTTTGGCGGCACCGACATCTACCGACCTATGGAAGATGTCATCAAGAAGCGCTACGCCGACATGGACTTGGAGGTGTTCCTGCTCACCGACGGCGAGATCTGGGACCAAAGTGCCCTTTTTGAACTGCTGAACAAGCAGGTTGCTGAGAGTAAGGGTCACATTCGCGTTTTCACTCTGGGCATCGGCAGTGCCGTCAGCCACGCCCTCATTGAGGGCGTCGCGAGGGCTGGCAACGGTTTCTCGCAGGTGGTTGGTGACAACGAGAAAATGAACAGCAAGGTCGTGCGCATGCTGAAGGCCTCTCTAATGCCCCACATCAACGACTACACGCTTGAGGTCAAGTATGCCGACAACGCGGCCGACAGCGACGAGGACTTTGAGATGGTGGAAAAGGTCATGGACGGCATGACCATTGACGTGCGCGAGGCCGAGAAAGAGGAGACCCCCAAGAAGCCCACCTCTCTCTTCGACGAGGCGGCCAACCCGGATGTCGAGATGTCTGACGCGTCCCTTGACACTTCCGCGGGCGGCAAGTACTCGCACGTCCCGCCCATCTCGGAGCCAAAGTTCCTACAGGCCCCGTTCCTCATTCCGGCCCTTTTCCCCTTCAACCGCACCAGCGTGTACCTCCTCCTCTCTCCAGAAACCGCTCAGAAGCAACCCAAGTCGGTCGTCGTCCGTGGCACGTCCATCCATGGGCCGGTCGAGCTGGAGGTTCCCGTTACCGTGCTGGCGGAGAAGTCCGAGACCATCCATCAGCTCGCTGCCCGCAAAGCCGTCAAGGAGTTGGAGGAGGGCCGTGGTTGGATCTACCACGCCAAGGATACCGCCGGGTCTCTGCTCAAGGACCAATACCCCGGCCGCTTCAAGGACATGGTTGAGCGCGAGGCGGTCCGGCTGGGCGTCACTTACCAGGTCGGTGGGAAATGGTGTAGCTTTGTCGCAGTCGAGGGGAACGAGGACCCAAATGAGGCCCAGGAGCCGACCCAGCCTTCGAGCAACGAGATATTTGCTCACAAAAAGTCTCGTTCCCGTCTATCAAAAGGGGGGGCCGTGCGACACCGAGCCATCCACTCGTCCTTCACCTCCACAGGGGTCCAAGGCGAAAGCGTTACCATGGCCGCCCAACCCCGGGCCTACCCCGCCGAACTACGCCGGAGTAGAGCCCCTGAAACCGTGGCCATAAAATCCTCCTCCCGAGGTATACTACCCGCCGGCACAACCTCCGCCCAATCTTGGCGCCCGCCGCCCCCCGCCGCCGCTCCTGCCGCATCGGACGACGAGTCCGATGATGACGCCATGGGTTTTGGCCTCATGGACTCCGGCGGCGGCGGCGAACCCCACTCTCCCATCGCCAGCCCCTCGTCTGCCGTCGCTAGCCTCTCTTACTCCCCCGTCAGCCCGGCCTCCCCACGTGGCAGAGGCTTGTTCGCTTTTCTGGACGACGACGACGTCGTGGGGAGAGGGTCCCTTGAGAAGGGGGACGTGCTGGACCGGCTGGTGGCGCTGCAGTCGTTTGAGGGGGCGTGGCGGTGGGAGGGGAGGGTGCTTGGGTTGGTGGGGCTTTTGGGGAGTAAAGGGAAGGGAGGTGGAGAGGCGGGGGGCGTTGTTACGGAGAAGGCGGCTGCTGCGGGGCTGGGTGCGCCGTCGGATGTGCTGGCGACTGCGCTGGTGTTGGTGTTCTTGGAGGGGTGGATGGGGGAGAGGAGGGATGAGTGGGAGATGGTGGCGGACAAGGCGAGGGGGTGGTTGGAGGGGCGGTTGGTGGATGAGGGTCAGGGGAGGGAGGTGGATGGGTTGTGTGAGAAGGTGAAGGTTTTCTTGCAGAAGGAGCGGGTGGTTGGGGAGTAAGTGATCGTAGTGATGATTATTGGGGGCGGGTTGGTGTATTGACTTGTTTGGGTTGGCGGTTGTGGTTTTGGGAACGCAATTTCCTAGTGTATCGTTATTGGAATGGGGGGCTTGGGTTGGGAACCGCCAGTTTGAGAGTTAATTACGGCACGAATGCACCACTTTTCTCGACCTATCATAACTCTTAACATTTACCCCGTTCGCAAGTCCGAGTCGGTCGGATCGTACTCTAGTAGCCCTCGTGGTTTGTATTCCAAAGGACCCTTGTGGGGTCCCGAACACAACCTGTGTTCGGGATGCTAGATCCATGGTCAGCAGGAAAGAGCTCACTTGTTTGACTTGGGGAGTCGTGGTTGTGATCTCGGGGAGCTACACATGTGTTCTGACGCAACATGCTGGATTTAGTCCTCTAGACCTGGGTTTCCACACACACACACAACCAACCATGACCACCAGTCTTTCACCCCCGATGTCGTCCACTGAACAACAAGGTGGTTGAATCCATCATATAGAACAAGCAGGCCTGTTCCACACTCAAAGCAAACCAGAACTGGTGTTAGTCAATGGTAGAAAGCTGGCTGCTTGGTATATATTTTGTAGGGTCCCGGCTTTCAAGACCTCAAATAATTCTACTACGCCCATTTAAAAACCTAACTTGCAATCTTGAGAGGTGTTGTCAAAGCCGACAGTCCTTTCATCGTTGGTGTTACTCTTTCCCAACTAACATTACTTCGCTAATCGAAGTATTGGGCTCGAACTAAACAGTCCCTTCCAAACGTCCTACCCAGCAAGACGATAATCATGACAGTCTGCAACAATCTCCGCAGCTTGAAGCGCGGCGCGGCAGACGCCCGCCCGCAGGACGAACCCAGCGATTACGACGGCCAGAGCCATACCGATGCTCTCGGTATCTTTACCTCTGACTACGTCGCTCCTTCTAAATACGCCGAGTATAGCGAGATCGACGTCGAAACTCGCCTCGTGACCGACGCCCTCGCCATGGCGATGGGCATCGTAGCGCTTGTATTGGTCGCTGTTGTCACCGTCGCGGCCGCTGGCGCTATCGGCATCATCGCCGTGGCTCTCATCGCTTGCCTCCGCATCTGTGGCAGGCGCGAGAGGGCCAGGCTTGAGGCTGAATTTGGCAGGGGGGTGGGATCTGGTTTGCCGGTAGGGGAAGCGGAGGAGAAAGATCATGAGGATAAGGCGGAAAGCTGGGAAGGAGTGGAGCTGTAGGGGTTGTGTTGTGGACCTCAAACAAGAACCAGCCCTCGTTAGGACAGCCTCAAGAAGGCAAGGAAGATACATACCCTGCAATAGGTTATCCCCCTGTCGAGACGGTCGTGGAGAGTAGTGGGTCTGTTGACATGTAAACCAAGCATAGATCCATAGAAGATGATGAATTCCGTGACCAAGAACGATAGTGAATAGTACTTAATTAGTAGCTTTGTTTGAGGGCCTGGACCCATTCTGTTGCCCACAACCCGTAGCATCACCGTTGTCAAAGGTGAACGTGTCTTGGAAGTACGCTTAGCAGATATGAGCGCCGTTTTGCATGCGAGTTCGTTTACAAACCCAATTTGGCAATACCTTGACCTGGCACTTTTGGTAGGACTGTGTTCGGGAGCATCGGAAAACCCTGACCCCTGTGTGGACGGACTTGACGGCATGGAACAAAAGGATGTACCAATAGTTAACCGACTAGGTACCTAAGACAGCGAAAATCAAATTGCGCCGTTAAATCTTTCAAGAAAGCACGACCTGCCATCTACCCAGGAACCAACCGACTTCACTGCACCTTTCGACATCCACACCCGGCCTGATCGAAACCCCTCGATATCAACCCACCTGGTCTACCCCCAGCCAACATCCCCGTGTACCTCCCACCCATGAACCCACCTCACGCCTCTAACCCCAAATTAAGCAGTCCCATCCCCCTCCTGGCGCCGACGACGGACCGGCGGGGCGCCGCCGGCAGCAGCACCCCCTCCGTTGTTGTTTCCAGCCGGAACCGTGCGACGAGTAGAAGTAGAAGCGGACGCGGACGCAGCCGCCCCGCCATTGCTTCTGCCATTTCCACCCGCCGCACCGCCACCAGTCCGGGACGCAGAAGACGCCGACGACGGTGCGGGCCGTTCAGGGAGGCGCGTCGTCGTGCCCCCCGTGGGGCGCGGCGGCGGCCCCCTAGGCCCTGAAGCCCCACCTGGACCGGACGACGGAGCGTTCGCCGCCCCTCCGGTCGGGCGCCCGCCCGAGGCACGACCGGAGGCTGTGCCTTGTGGAGTGCCGCCGTTTCTACCGCCCGTGCCTGTGGTGGGGCGCGGGGCGGTGTCTGCTGCCGCCGGGGGGCGAACGCGTTCACCGCCGCCTTGGGGGGCCGTGTTCCTGCTCCTGCCCGTGCCCGTGCCCGTGCCAGTGCCAGCACCCGCGGAGACGCCCGGGTTTGCGCCTGCTGGGGGAGCGCGTCCCCTTGCCGACGGGGCTTGCTGACCCTGCGAGGCAGGGCCTCTTGCCGCGCCCCGTGCCGGTGTTGACGGTGCCTGGGCGGCCGGGGCTGGACCCCTGGGCGCCGGCGGTTCTGGCGACGCTTCGCGTGGCGGGGTCATGGTGTCGGCAGCGCTGCCAGGGAGGGGCGCAGGACGGCCCTGGCCGGGGATGATGGTTCCTTCGGGCGGGGGTGGGGGCGGGATAGCGGACTGTTGTACCGGCAGGGGGAGTCCCCTGAGCAAGGCTTGCTCGCGCGCGTTGATTTGCGCCTCTGTAAAACGCTTGCCGTCCTTGTAGGATTCGTGGCACCAGCTGAGGTAGTTGAGGAATCGAGTGCCGTGGCAGGTTTCGGGAAGGTTCTTGATGCAACCAGCGAGCTCCTTGCGCAGTTCTTCGGCGCTTGGGTACGTCTTCCGGCCGTTGGCCGCATCGAAGTCGTACCTCAGAGCACTGAGATGAAGTCCGAGAGCTAAAAGAATGCGATGGGTGGTAGTAATAGGTGAAAGAACACCCGCTTGGCGGCGGAACTCAACCGTCCCGATTTCCGGAAATGGCGTAAAGTTAAAAGAGGTATACCGGTCGCCATCTCTCTTGCCGCCTTGTATCTCGGTGATAAAGTTCTTTTGGGCCCTTTTGGCGGTTTCACCGACAGCCAACATCTCTATCTTCTTAAAGACTGGTCCCCAACCTTTACTCCGAACTGCCTCGTATTCCTGGGTCGCAAAGACCTTATAGTTTGGGCGGGCATATTCACCGTCATGGCGATCCGACGGGAGGAATTCGCGTAGAGCCTCCTCCCAGAAAAATGCCCCCTTTGCTACGCTTACGAGCTGGGGCAGTGTGTAGTCGTTTTTCTTGATTTGGACTGGCCCGGGCGATATATGTACGTGGCAGCCAGAGTAGTGGGTAGTCCAGATATTGAAGTTTTTGCAGATTGCTGTATAAATCATCTCTATTTCGTGTTGCCATTGCTTGGTTACCGACATAGGTGGTGAGACGATCTCGACCCCCCCTATATAACAACTATAATTAGTCCACCTATCAAAAGCGTCTAGGAATGGCTGGCAATACGTACACCACTTTCGAGCATTGGGGGGTAGTGCGAGCTTCCGTTCTACCATACTCGGATCAGATACGCAATTCCATCCGTTGCCCGGGCCTAGCATAGCGTCAATATCTGCCTGCACGGCCGGCGATACTCCTAATAGCCGTTGCCAAACGACTTGCTTTTGCCCCTCAACCGTCGGCGGGTCGTTGAGAAGGTCGAAATCCCACTTTTGCCACCACTCAGGTAGGGACTTGGGGTTCGTCCTTCTCTTTTCTCTGATCGAAGCCTCGATATGTGGTTTGACTTTAACATATAGCTCGATTTCGACGCCGAAAATCGGCAACCGAGGAGCCGGCGCAGCCTTCATGTTCGCGGTACCGGTGGACATTGTTGCAAGTTGGGTGCTGTGAAGGTGTAACGGAGAAGTATGTAGGACTTCGCGGGCCTGTTGAAGGTAACGATGTTGTTTACGATGTTCTACGATTCGAGGATGTTTTCAGCGGGCGTGCAACTTTATAGTAAGTAGCAAACGATCCGGACGACGCCTCCTTATTCATGTCGTCACCAATGCATATCAACCAACCGCATAACTCCACCTCAATTCATACCAAGTGCCTAGAGCTCTCGCAATAGGTAAGCCTTTCAAGTAGTGCCTAGCCAGCGTTTTACAAAGCGCCGCGGCCTCGGGCTAGGCCAACATTGAAGGTCCTCAACCGCCGTCCGATCACTGTTAAAATCCCCCCGAGCTCGGACTTGAGAATAGAACAGGACTTCGGCGGTGGGGATGTGCTGGGCTACAATTGAGTTGTACTATGCAGACATGTCCCGGAGTTCGCAAAGCTACTAATTATCTAGGTACCTACTTGGTGTGTGGCCGCCTTGGTCGAAACACCATGCACCCGCCGAGCACCCTGTTGCCTAATGCGAGAAAAGAAGTAGATCAGATGGAAAGTGAAGAAAGTTCAAATTCGGCTTACTCCCCCACCGCAAAATAACGGCGGAGATAAGCGCCTGGCCTTTTGTCTCGGTGCCCTCGGTTCCCGGGTGCGAGCTACCAGGCCACCGTGTCGCAGCCCGCTCGCATCGGAGCACGTCAGCGGAGTTCAGGGGCGATCTGAATAACTAGGCCGGCCACCCCTTGCTAGGTGCTAACCTAGGCAGACAGCAATAGCGCGCACACCCAAAAACTGAAATCATTCGCATTAGAGCGGCAGTCACTTGCACCCGGCCCTGAACACTGATTATGACCGACGTCCCCCGGCCCGAAGCCCGAGGGGACGCTAACTGGAACATAATAGAACACAAGAACGAGCAGCATGTGTGTCATGCATCACCGTCGTCAGCCAACCTGAGATATAGGTACCTACCTTACTTATGGGAGCGGATAGGTGGCGGAAACTCGAGGCCACGCGCCCGCCAAAAACAAGAGTCCAAATCGCGGCACATGCATGTGCTGTCTGAGTGGCATATTTCAGATCTCATGATAATGGACGGAGGAAAGGAACCCATAAAGCCGAGTCTCAGAGTTTCTAGAGGCAAGGGGCCTATGGATATTGTGCATAATGTCTCGGAATCCCTAACGGTTCCGGCGTCCCCGCGAACGGAATGCGGGACAACTAAGACAAAGGGCCGGAGTCCCAATCCGTCTCCGCAACTTCAAGCCTACCACCTACGGCGACCGGACTCCGGTCCCGACGGCACAACCTCTCGACCGGTTTTCAACACCTTCCGACCGGGAACCTCCGACCGGGAGTAAACTGATGCGTGCCGTTCGAACATAAAATGACATGGAAGAGACGCTATGAGGATTCTGCGGCTCGATTACAACACACAACAGATCCATCACTGTCCAGTTCACCGAACACCTTGCTACCTACCGTCCAGCACTTTCCACACAAACAATCCCAACAGCACTTCCACCCAAACAAAACCATGCCTCCCCAAAACCAAGCCGCCTGGCTCACCGCCGCCAAAGCCAAGCCCCTCCGTGTCGGCCCCGCCCCCTACCCAACCCCGGGGCCAGGACAAATCGTGATCCGCAACGGCGCGGTCGCCATCAACCCGGTGGACTGGCAAAAGCAACTCCTCGGCGACGTGCTGCTCAGCCACATCAACTACCCATTCATCCAGGGCGGCGACGCGGCCGGCACGGTCGTCGAGGTCGGTCCGGGAGTGTCGGGCGCGTCCCCGCGCTTCCGCGTCGGCGACCGCGTCGTCGGCGTCGCCCTGTCCATCCTCGAGTCCGTCAACGACGCTGCCGAGGGCGCCTTCCAGCTTTATCCTGTTTTGCGCGACCACATGGCCGCGCCGCTGCCGCGCGCCCTGCCCTTTGAGCAGGCCTGCGTGCTCCCGCTCGCGCTGACCACCGCAGCGTATGGGCTGTTTCATGAGGAGTTTTTGGGGTTGGATATGCCCACCGTGCCGGCGCGCAGGGCTGTCGGGCCCGGGGGCAAGCCCAGGGCGGTGATTGTCACCGGCGGGGCGACGAGTGTGGGGAGCAATGGGGTGCAGCTGGCCGTGGCGGCCGGGTATGAGGTGATCTCGACGGCGTCGCCCAAGAACTTTGACTATGTCAAGAAGCTGGGCGCGCGGCACGTGTTCGACTATCAGGGAGATGCTCCCACGCTGGTTGCCGGGATTGTCGCCGCCTTGGAGGGCCGCTCCCTGGCGGGCGCGCTGGCTACCGGAGAGGGCGCCGTCGAGATGTGTGCGGCGGTTATGGAGCGTCATGCCGACACGACGCACAGGTTCATCGCGTCGGCGAACCCGCCGCCGGCTGGTGTTTCGGGAGCGCAGGCCAGGTTCATTGATAGCAGGGATGCCTGTGAGCCGGACGGCCGTGTGGCACGTGTGTGGATGGACTTCATGCCGCGAGCGCTGGAGGAGGGCCAATTTGTCGCCGCACCGGGACCGCTTGTTGTTGGAAAGGGCCTGGAGAAGATTCAGGAGGCGATGGACCTGCACATGCAGGGGGTGTCCGCCCAGAAGGTGGTTGTGTCTTTGGACTAAGGGACGTGCGGTAGACTGTACTTGTAACACAGAATGAACTCCTATTCCAACACTGCCAATTTTGTTCCTAGGTACTCTAGCTTCGAAGAGGCCAATAACCGTGATAATAGTTTAGAGGGAGAAGAAAGACAACCGTTACGATCTATCGGGTTAGGGTTACTTTCACCCCAAGGGTTGGGTTTGGGTTTGGGTTTGGGTTGGGGATAGGGGTAGGGGTAGGGCAAGGGGTAGGGTTGAGCCAGACCCTGAACCCATCGCTCTCCCTACCCCCTATCCCTCTCCCTATCTCCATCAAGCCTTTTATGGAAATATACTCCAAGATCTCGAGTTTGCTATCTATAATTTACCAGTAAACTTTAGAGTATCACCGCTCGATTCTACTCCCACCGTCACTTGACTCAGTATTCTTCTGCAGTAACGTGAAGCAAAGACCACTGGCTTCATTCAGGTTGGGACTCATGAACACATCATGCCGTAGTGGACAAAGGTCTAGGCAAATCTAGGCATTTTGCCTACCCTCGAATCCGCTCCATCTGTGCCACTTACCCGTCAGGAGAACCGATCATAGTGAGTCTAGCCCCTTCTTCCACTGGAGATGTCGAGGATGTAGGTCGTTTTTTCTACAGCCATTGGGTATTCCACTACCATTGCAAACGCCGCGGCCAAAGAGATGGAGTTATCCTCCAGGCTGGGTGCCCCAGTCTTCCGCTATATTGTGAATAAGACTGCTTTATTCGGAGAGATATAGTCTTGAGCAACCCCCCTTCAACTACATGGATCTCGGCGCTCAAAACATTCTCGTCGATGATAACTTCAATGTTCTTGCCATTGTCGACTGGGAGTACCCACAGACCGCTCCGTGGCAGGTCAACCATTACCATATGCCGTTTCCTTTACTAGGTTGCGACATCGAGGGCATTCTCAAGACCCTACCTAGTTATCTAGCTTACAAAAATGTATCACGGCAAGACGCTTCTCGTCGACTCCACCGCAGGGAGTTTTCGGAAGCCGAGAGGAGGATTGAGGAGCAGTCCCGACCCCTCGTACGGTCCTTTCCAAACGCGTTCGCCGGTCCAGCATCAAGGATATACGCCTGCTTCACTACCCTAAGTCGCCTACCCTAGGATGATAACGACCTAACTTCTTGGATGGTGCACCTTGCCTTGGCGTTGGGTATACATAAAGTGGAAGAATGTGTTTGGAGCTAGAGCAGGGTGGGAAGATAGGGGGGACACGGTAGATGGAGCTTTTATGCCAACGCCTACGAGGTTGAACTGCCTGGAGATAATCGAGCACTCACAGGCGCGTCCACTGCTGATGGTGGGGATAGGTTTATAAGGACGGAATGACGATGTTGTGTGAGATACCATTGTATACGGCGGTACTTCTAGAACTGATCTAACTACCTGCCTACCCTCTAAACCCTGTTGATATTACAAGACCACAACCAACTTCCTCCCCCTTCTAATCACCCTCCGCCCAAAACCGATCCCACCACAACCCCTGACCTGCACAATACCCCTTCTGCGGCGCCATCGCCACACCCTCTGTTCCCCACCCATCACTACCCCCCCCACCCCTCAACACAGCCATCCACCCTCCCCCTCCTCATCAACACCCTCCCCCTCAACGCCCTCAACCCCGCCACCAACCCAACCAACCCCTCCCCCTCCCCACCACCCCCATCACTAGTACTCCCACCACCACTCCCACCACCACCACCCTCTCCCCCAACACCAACACCAACCCCAACCCCAACACCAGGACCGCCACCACAAACCCCCTCCACCCTCTCCACCACCGCCCCCAACAACACCGGCAAATCCACCACCAGCCTAACCGACGCGCCATCCCACCGCGTATCGCCCTCCAGCCGGTGCAGCGCGCTCAGACACGCCGTCAGCTGCGCCCACTGCGGCAGGGCGATGCCGCGGAAGGAGGGGTCGGGGAGGGTGAGCAGGGCGGAGGTGCTTGCTTGTAGGGCGAGGAGGATGTTGTAGGGTTGGGGGGTGTTGGTGTTGGTGGTGGTGCCGTGGGGAGGGGGGTAGACCGTCGCGGGTGTGGTGTAGACTGTTGGAGGGGTGGTGTAGACTGTTGGAGGGGTGGTGTAGACTGGTGCGGGTGTGGTGTAGACCGTTGGGGGTGTGGCGTCGGGGGTGGTGGTCGGGATGGTTGTAGAGATGGTTTGGAGGGGGGTGGCGTGCAGGGTTTCGAGGATGGTGAGTTCGGCGTGGTAGAAGTGCGCTGGGAGAGAGCCTGGTTGGGAGGGGGAGGTTAGTGTCAGTTGGTGTGACTGTAGGGAGGTGGAGGAGTTAGGAGTCGCACCTTGGTGTTGAAGCACGGCTGGATGGAGGTCGTGAAGCTGGGCTAGGAGGGCCTCGGCGGCCGCGTGGTAGTTTGTATGGCGGTTCCGAGTGCGTAGCTGGAGAGCCTGCGATGTGAGCAGCTGGAGGTGCACCTGCAAGGCCAAGACGCCGTCGGCCGGGTCATCTGTGCTCGCAGTAAGGGCGGCGAGATTGTGCTTAATGTGAGGAGTCCAGCGTAAGGCATCAACTTGGCCGGTATAGGTTGAAACGGCAGAGCTGAGCACGAAGCAAGCCAAAACGGCGCGTTGGCGTTCCAATAACGACTCGGCCAACATGGGTCCGCCAGTGTCATCGACTTCTGGAACCACCAGCCCTAGCGTGTGCATGTCTGAAGCCGTGAACTTGCTCGGGAGCACTTCGCCAACCAGTGACATGGCCAGGGTCATCAGGCGACCACTGAGAAGGTGGTCCCAGCCCCAGGCTACATAGACTAGCAGACCAAGCAACAAGTCCATTGTACGGCCCGCTTGACTTTGTTGGGTCTCGTTCCCTTTCTGATGCTGGAGGAACGCCATAGCAAACAGGACGCGTTTCAACTCGGCAGCACGCACTCGCTTTTCACACGACGTAGGTGATGTAACGCAGGCGATGGCTTGGAACAAGAATGGTCGCTGGTGCTGCAGCTGCTGGGCTGTCGTCTCGGCAGGGAGGTGGATGAGCGGAAAATGGGGGAGCATGTGGGAACGGAATATCTCAAGGCGGGACGCTGTCGAGGGGTCCGCAGACTCGGGGGTTCTCGCGTTTAAGTTGTTGGTAGGTATGTCAAGAAAAGGGCTAAGGAGAGCTTCTAGGCCTGTTAGACCCCCCGGCGAGGGCAGTCCACAAGGAGCCCGATGCTGGTTGTCGACCTCGTAGGCCTCGCCCGACTGGAACAGCGGGACAAGATCTTCAAAGGGGGTAACCCAGCCTTCGGAGTGTGGTTTTTGGTTGGGATTGACGCGGCGTCGGGTCGAGTTGGATGGGGTGCAGTGTTTCTTCAGACGGCGGCATCTAAGGCCGAGCCTGTGAGCTTCTCCAACACCATAAACAAACCCCCTGAGCCTACACAACTCACCTTTCGCAACCATCGCCATTTTGGCGCGGAATGCATCGGCACTTGGCTTTGAAGCAGCTCATACACGCATGGCCGTACGGTGCCGAGTGGCTCATCCCTCGTCGTTCCATGGTATTAGGTAGTCGTCAAGCGCTGGAGTTACCGAGACTCACGAAAGGTAAAGAACACGGAAATGTTCGCACGGAAAACACTGGAGGCCGGAGCTTGGAATTCGGGAAATAATATTAAGGCCGCCGAAGCCGCGAGGGGCCGCACACCCTCAAATATTGCTAAACTACCTGACTTCAACCCCCTGGTGACAAGGTCACAGCACAGCCAAGGGGTAGCGCCCGGCCGCCGGTCACGGATTTCCCCGATAGACCTCATACCAACGAATCTCGGACATATTTACCTGGACTTGCATGAAAGTGACGATGAATTGAGCAGTGTACGTGGCGGTGATTGGTGGCGCATGTAGCTGTTGGTTCGAGGCCGGCTGCAAGAGCGTGGAAACGAGCGACAGAAGGCGATTGGGGGCCAAATTCAACACTGAATTCGTCAGCAGCCTACCGTCCGTGTAAATTGCTCATTGCCCCCCTCAGTGTTGCACCCCCACATGGATAGGACTCGGGGGCAGGAAACAGTCTGGAGATTGTGTGTGTGGAAGGGAGGTGTTTAAGAGGATTTTCACGATATGCATACGCGCCACGGGCCGTTCCTGATTATTTATTACCTTATCTCACCGCCTTACCTACTTCGTATTGCTGATTACACACTGAGGATCTGGCGCCGCCCCTGTCCTAAAATACCTGCAACAACGCGGGAATTCGCCAAGCCTGCCGTTGAGCGGCATGGTCTGGCACAGCAGCGTTTATACGCCAATAGACGGCCCAGTATGGCCCAGATTTCATCGAAGGCTCGGCACTCCGGGGCACTGGAACAGGATTTAAGGCGAAGGGTGGCCGCGGGTCCGGTCGCAGACTCCCACACGATGAGGCGATGCAGTGGCACCCTGATCCCGAACCACGAGGAAGCCAGTGGCCCCCAACTATCATGGAAATATCAAACTTCCATCGCGGCACAAGCGCCGGGACGGATGGAAAGTTCGCTAACTGAAGAAATCCCTCTGCTGAAAATGGCGGACGATAGGATGCCGGTGAAACCATGAAGAAAGTCACCACGTTTGCATTTTGTTAAATAATTAATACTGGCGCACTTGTTGACCGTCCGTGTAAACATAATAATCACTGAGCACTAAGCTTGGAAATCAACAGTTTTAAGCAACCGGGACTCAACGTTGACGCCGAGCAACATCACCGCCCAAACATTTAATATAATCATCTCTAATCAACATGGGGCTGGAACAGCAGCCAACGGGCAGGCAGAAGCCCAAGCGATCGGAATGTCTCCCGCTTCCACACGACGATCTCTTGCACTACTCCCGTTGCCTGAGATTCGAGGAGCGAGAGAACCACCTGCAAAACGCAAATCAAGACCTTCAGGGGCGGGTCGCCCACTGGCTTTCTCGAGTTCAACGGGTCCGATCCCATATCGACTCCCGCCCCGAGGGGGAGTTCTGGACAGCCCGCCTCGCCGATCATCTGGCTGACCTCCGGTCCAAACCCCAGCCGCGAAGAGGGGAGAGGACCCTGGCCCATACATTGTCCCGCCTGCACATTGGCAGCCGGAGCAGCCAGGTCAACATCCCGACCATACAAATTGGCGGCAAAACGCTCTCGACAGAGTCAACACCAAACATTGATGCTGTGTTGTCAAGATCACACCATGTCGAAGAGGACGGTAAAGAGCACACTTACAAGGGACTGCAGGCTGCAGCGGTGTACTTCAAGGATGGAAAGCCTCACTCCCACTCCAAGTTGCAGGGGAGCTTTCCTGATCAAACCATCCCCTTGGCCGACCTTCTCTCCAGAGATGGCGATAGGAGTGTCTTGACGGAGCCATGCGAGGAAGGCATGCTTAGGTGGTTCCACATTCCCGCGAACAATCCATCGTGGGTTGAGGTAAATATGCTCTTATGCTCTCTTGTTTCCTTTGTTTTTGTGCTAATATGATACAAAACTCAGGAGGCCATTGCTCGCCATTACAACGAGGTGAGGCCGGACAGGGGGGATCTCTTCGAAAAGGCCAAAAACAACCCTAAGACGCATGAGATCCTTCGTCGCGTCGGCTGGCGCGGCCACTCGCGCGAGGGTGCTGACCGCCACGGCGCCCCTCACACCCGGCAAATGGATCCCGGCTGTGAAGTTATTAAAGGAGGCTCCGGGAACACAAACGCCATGTGCCTATTTGTAAGTTCTACCACCATACTCCTATTTCCGAGTTACCGCTAACTCTCTCTAGTCACCATATCTCCACTGGGAGACAGCCCAGGGTTGGGAGGGACAATCCAAGGCAATCGAGCAGGCCACTCGGACTGCTACCTTGCAGGACCCCTCAGCTTTACAAGTGCATGATAGAGTTGAGGACAACTTTCATAATGAGTTACGCGGCCACAACATCAACGAGACGTCTCTTTCCGCCGTGGCCCAAGAAACCATTGCCGCCTCCATGAACCACTTTCGGCCCATGGCAATGCGCGCGACCACCCGCCGTGGCGTCATTGGGAGGATCTTGTTCGGCGCGGCGCGCATCGCCAAACTCATGACAGCATACGAAGATGACCAGCTCATCGGCGACTATTTGTACGCAAACCCGCCTTTGCATCCGCGGCGGACCCTCCACCAGTCGTTCAACGAGTATGCCAATTTTCTGCGCGACACAAAGAAGCTCGACCAGGACCAGATTGTGTACCGGGCAACGGCCAAGGTCCGGGACACGACTCGCCAGGGTTGCAGTAAGTGGTGTCAGTGCCCAGACTGTACTGCGGAGAGATCTACATCATCACGGCTCTTGATGGTAGACCAGCTGTGGATTTTCGTGTTGGACGAGAGTGAGTACCTCGCCTTGAAATCTTGAGGAGCATTCGGGGGCTAACTTTCCAGACACCATCATCACCAGCTTCCCCCAACGCTGGGGCTCGTACTTTGCTAGTGACCCGTCTGGCGTGCACACTCGTGTCCGGGATCAGTTGAGAAGGGGAGAGCGGGAAATTGGGAACCCATATGATCTCGTCCTTTCCGTGTTCGATGTCTGCTGTCGGACTTTCTACGAGAACACCTCCTTCGAAGACCGGCAACCCCTCATGAATTACATCTTCACTGACTCGATCAACTTCGTGGTGAGTCCGCACAGCAAGGCCCCCTCCCATCACGACTATTGACATCGAAATAGACAACACGGGAGCTTGCCGCCCGTCAAGAGCTAGCCGTTCTAGCTCAAGAGATTTGGACAGCGTACGGCTCCCCAGACAAGGCCCAGATTGCGGAGGCGCACAAGGCGCTCATGAATATCAACCCCGAGGCCGGCCTGATGAAGCAAGCCGACAATATCCTTAGCGACCTCGGAATTATCCGCCAGATCAAGTCCATCCAACGCGAGGTTCTAGAAAAGTACCACATCCACGTCGCCCGCCGTCTCGTACCCAAATACGGGCTGGGCGTTAACATCACGCTACCACACACCCCCGCGCTGCGAGACGTTAGGCGCATGCGTGAGGAACTGGACGACGGGCAGGACATATTCGACGACAAGAAGTCCGCCGCGAACTGGACGCTCGAGTGCGCCGACGAGTCCGAGCTGTTCCTGTCCGACCAGTACAAGCAAATCGACGGCCTCCACACAGCAGCCGAGCACTGCCACAAGCGGCTCCAAGACCTCCTTGACACCAAGAGCCGTTACGCTGGAATTGTCTCGGCCTGGGAGGCCGTGGCCAACAGTATCGAGCAGTCCAACCAGGGCAAATCGATCATGCTGTTTTCCGTCCTCAGCATCATCTTCGTAAGCACCCCCCTTTCCCCCTTTCCAACCCTCCCCCCATCCCCAACCAGAAACCAATATCTAACCACCGCAACCCCCCCCCCCCCAACAGCTCCCCCTCTCCTTCATCACCAGCGTCTTCGGCATGAACATCCAAGACTACCGCATCGGCCTCGGCACCCTTGCCGAAGAGCTGTACTACGTGTTCGGCATCTCGCTCGTCGTCATCTTCTTCTCGCTCCTGCTCGCCTTCGACAAGTTCTCCCTGGCCCTCTTACTCTACTGCATCAACGTACCCACAAAATGGGTCATGACGCGGCTCGCGCTGCTGTGGCAGCCCGCCAGCCTGCAGCGCACGCGCAACTACCGCCGCCTCAACGAGCTGCGCGTGCGCGCCGTGCGCCAGATGGAGGACGAGATCGAGCGGGTGCGGCTGGTGCGGGATACGAAGCTGTTTTGGAAGACGGTCGAGGCCGAGCAGGCGAAGAGGAGGGCGCAGGGGCCGCCTGGGGTGGGGGGGATGAGGGCTAGGGTGAGGAGTGGCGGGTTTGAGGTTTGATGTTTGATGGCCTCGGGGCTCTCGGGCTGGGTGGGACTCATGGGAGGAAAGGGGTTTTAGGGATACTTTTTATTGTTGTAACTTATGATTGCTTTGACGGTACGAGACGTTGTATTTGAGAATATCGCACTATTGCGCGTATGGCTCCGGCTTACCGTGCCGCCAATGGGGGTGAGCCGGGTGAGAGCTGGGTGAGTCGAGGGTGAGCAGTGATCCATCGCTGCCCCCGGCCTTTTTATTGGGTTCCAATCCTGTCAACCCCGAGTGCGGTGCACTGTGCGCCGCTCGGCAGCTTCCCTCGGTTTTCATCAACCCTCTCTCGGTACCTAACTCCCGTCGCGTTCTGACTATGGATCCCTCAATTTCACCGACACTACATCTCCCTTCGCTTCCGGACATTTCGAACCTGGAGATGAACTTTTACGAAACGTCTTTCTTCCGTCCCACGAGTAGCACCTCGCCGGCTCCCCAACTTCCGCCCCCAGATCTAGTCCGCGAAATGAGCAAAGCGCAAGGCCTAAAGGTGGTCAAGTTTGAACGTCTAAATCTCGTTGTCAAGTTTGGCCACCCTTCCAAGGTGAAGCTGGAAGAAGCACAAGCAATGTGGGCGATCGGCCAGTTGTTCCCCGCCAAGGATGTGCCCGTGCCTGAGCTATTCGGATGGAGAGTCGACCAGGGCGAGAACTTCATCTACATGAGTTTAATCAAGGGCCCAACCCTTGGGGAAGTATGGCCATTGCTCACCAAAGAGGATAAGAAATCCATCTGTGGTCAGCTGAGCCAAATGGTGGCCTCTCTCAGGCGGATCCAACAGCCTTCATCCCAGCCGTTCATCGGTACGTCTGTGATTACCTTAGGTACCTACCAGGTAGCCGGGTTTCGCGGATTCGTCTCGTTGACTCAAGAATATTAGGTTCCATCAACTACGGTCAGGTGCAGGACATCTACTTCCGCGGCGGCGAAGAGGCGGGACCCTTCCATACCGTCTCGGCTTTCAACGACTGGGTACAGTTCACTGCGCTCTCATGGCTGCCAATGTCCGAGAGGCCGGTAGATCCATACAGATCCCTCCTTCCCGACATATGCAAGGTGTATTTCACCCACGCCGACCTTCACCTTTACAATGTCATCATCTCCGACACTCCGAGCTGTCGCAGCATCATGGGGATCGTGGACTGGGGGCAGGCGGGTTGGTATCCAGAATACTGGGAATACTGCAAGCTAACTATTGTCGGACAACACAACCACGAATGGCGAGATGGCGGATGGGCTGACTCGATTGTGGCATCTTGCGAGGATGAATGGACAGCCTTGTCGGAGTATTGGATGTGGCGGATCCCGTGACGCCCAGTTAGCCTAAAGAATTCAACTATGTAAGGTACCGTAGTCTTAAACCTCGTCTTCAAAGTCTTGACGAGCACTGCGTAAAGCTGCGGGCACCGCGCTCGTACCAGAAAAGGGTGGTTGGCAAAACGAGTGCGTGAATCCCCTAGTTAGCAATCGGAGGCCAGGGGAGATACGGATAGTCCGACTCATGTCGTTTCACCGGATGCAGGGGGGCGAGACCGCGTAAATTATCTGTACAAAATTGGAAAAAGAAGAATTTGTTCATTGACAGTATTCCGATGTCCGACCACGAAACCTTTCGTTACCGACATGTCGAGAAGATTTGGGAACTGGCGGCGTTGCCCTGGACGAACGCCTTCCTCTCTCTTGCAGTCACCACCGGCTGCCCGCGGAAGCGCATGTCGAGGTTGTATCCTCTAGATGCGCTCTGTCTGGATCTCCTCGCGGTGTTTCTCTATATCTAGCTTCACGCTGAAGTTTGAACGCGTTCACCAAACAGCTACGGTAGATGACTTTGCCACATAGAAGATCATGGATCTGATTGGGTTTGACATGCGCCAGTTGCAGCATGCCACCTTCCACGTCGCGGACTCGCCGTTTCCGGAGCGTTTTAGGTAGGTACCTATTTTTCGAAGTTTCGGCTCCTGAGATCGTGCCCGCGGTTGCCGCACCTTTGCTCGCTGTATTTATGGAAAGTGGGAATAACTACTAGGGAGGGGAGAACAACTTTATGTTTAAGTATGGTCTAATTACCTACTTGGGGATGCTTTAATACAAACTAGAAGCAGATCGACCACTTTGCCCAGCACGCACTCATTCCCACAGTTGTGACTACCAACGCAGGATCAGCTGCGTCCCCAGTTCCTCTCTTCCGCGAACGATTTGCTGTTTCATGCGGATGAAGCACCCTGCCGAGCATCCCGTGACAAAACGTGGCCGTCCAACAACCGATTGGGTACACAGAAAACGCTGCCTACCTAATGGTCCTTTTCAACCCCCCCTCCCCCCTCCCCCCCTCTCCGGGCCGCTTTCCGGATACATCAGCAAAAAGCAAGCAGACGTTAACGAGAGTTAGTGTCTACGTACTATTAGATGCAGAGCCAAGGCCCGATCTTTGGTAGGTACCGGGCATCTAGGTACCCTTTCTTGCCGAACAGAGCTGACTTATTGCCGAACGAAAGACCCATTGTCATCCTTGCTGTTGCCCGGGAAGCCCCCTTTTTACCCAACCCTCAAATGGACCAGACAAACGAGGAGCTCCGGAAGAGATTGGGTGAAGCCATCCTGGAGAGGGGGGAGAAACAAAAAGAACTGGATAGTGTCTTGGACTTCCTACGAGCATTCGATGATGCAGATTTGGATCAGGTGTCAGGAAGCGCATCAAGTGCTCGCGGTAGAAGAAATAAGCGAAGAACAAAGTCTGCCAAGGAAGAAAAGGAAGAGTACGAACGGAGGCGAGATGAAATCGACATCAGCATGGCACAGATGATGAGGAAGATTGTGGAGCTACAAGAGGCGCTGGGGATTGAGACGGTTGATTCGGTCGGGGAGGGAGGTAGCTAGGTAGTTTCATGATCAACGCCATGTTGCCTTGAAGGCTTCTGATCTCGCCAACAGCCGGTCGAGGTCAGTCTCGTACAACCCGTTGTCTTTTAGATGCTGCGTGTATCTTTCGCACTGGTCCGCCCGACGGTGCGCTTCCAATGTAAGTGCTTGGTTGTGGTGGAAAAAGTGGGATACCAGCTCATCGAAGGGTTTGTTTGGGTGTTGCTGAGCAACAAAGGCGGAAAACACGTCGGTCACGTCGGTTGGACGACGGAGGACGTGAGCAAGGTAAAATGCCTTGTTCGCTTCGGCGGTCGTTCGCTCATCATACCACTCCTCTCTAAGCCGCCGACAGCGAGCATGGGCTTTGCTCTTCTCGTCCAAGACGGCACGAAAGTCAGTGTGCATCTGTATCTGTTCGTCCGTCTCGGTAGCATCATGGCCCGTGATCCAGGATGGTGGAGTGAAGAGCCGGCGAGGGATAGTACCAGAGAACTCCCAGTCGATGATAGCCTTAATGTTGAATTCTCCGTCGACGATGATGTTGGCGCTTCGCAAGTCGAGATGGTGCAGAACGAATGGCCCTCCATCTAGTTGTGAAGTGAAGATGTCCTGAGATATCTGTTCTATGCCGCGAAAAGCGAACATCTCTTCTTTGATGTCATCGATGGTATGATCGGCAACCGGAAGCAGCAAGAACCCCGATATAAGGCTCAACTGGTACTTCATATATTCACTGGCGGAAGCAAAGGGCTTTCGAGGGGGGCGTTGAAACGAGGGGTGGCCAGCTGCGCTGTGATGTGGCTGCAAGAGCGTCGTAGCAGACATGGAGATAACGGGACCTACGTGTGGGCAGGACCCGCGGTCCGCATCCGGCATGAGGGAGCCCATGACAGGGAACTCGAGGCCCCTTAGCTCAGTTAAAACATCAATGAGCTGAGAGTAGAATCTTTTTCGGGCTTGCTCTTCTGCTCCCACTAAGAGGCTTTTGTTCAATGCATGACCATGGACAAACCCGGAGATGATGAACATCTGCGTCCTCGTGCGCGACTTTGTCAAACAAACATCGCGTCCGTAGGCAAAAACGCATGGGACGGGAATTCGTGTTTCTTTTTGGAGGTAGCTGGAATTGTGTGAGTAGCGGCCGGAGGATGGGGAAATCAACACATGTACTGACCGCATGGTTGCGACTTCGCTCTGAACCTTGATCCACGCATTTTCAAGAAGTTCAAAGGCTGGCTCTATCGGAATCCTCACAGCCCATTCCGGACCTTTCCCATCAAATTCGACGAAAAAGCAAACATTGAAACTTCCGCTGGCCTTGGCCACAACCCGACAAGGTCTGCCCCTGTTGTGCTTGGAAGCTAGTGCGCAGACGGCATTCGGATCAAGGGATTCGATGAAGTCATTTTTAAGGCGCCGATATTGGTCGTCGGTCATGGTAGGAAATTCATCCGCCGCGTGACCGATGGTACTAGCCCTAGCCTCGGCTGGGACAATGTGGTCACCAGGCAAAAGCGACCATAGGGGTATCCTAGAGGAGTATGACACCATCCATGTCCATTGCCAGTGCACCAGGCGGAAAAGGTTGGACAGCATTGTTCGTGATCATGGTGAGGTTGATCGATGGAAGAAGAAAAGGGGTTGAGGATGAGAAAGAGGTGCCATCTCAACCGAGCGCCGACCAATCAATCGCCATGCATTGAGGAAGGGTTCCGACCGGGGGATGGCGTTAGTCATGTGATCAAGGCTACACCATGGCGAGCCGAGTCACACGCTACACGTTTGGGTCTCCCGTCTGCCACAAAGTGGTTACCGAGGGTACCTAATTACGCGCTTTTATCAACGCGCGCTGACACGTAAAAACCGTCAAACACCCTTTGTGCATCATGAAAGAAGGCGTGTTTCGAGAGCAGCAACGCCAACCAGTCCTCGCCCAACTGCAGCTGGTCCCGCAAGACCCAGTACAAAATCCCAATGGCCGTCGGCGTAATCATCGTCTGCCTCGTCGGTGTAGTTCCCAGCATCCTAGTGATGCAAGAGAGCGTCATATACGCCTCGGCCGCGGCCTGGCAGCGGAACCTGGCCTGTCCCGGAAGAAGAAGGGGATTGCCGTCATGGGCCGCGGCCGCTGCCGCCTGCCGACGGACATACCTTTCATCTTCGGGCGACAGCCGCTCGGGTTGTTGTGATGGTTGGCCGCGGGCGCAGGCGTCGAGCTGCATCAGGTAGAGTAGCGCGGCGTTGTAGTACAGGACATCGAGCGCCAGCCGCGGCGAGTCGAATTCCAAGTTGGCTTGCAGCATCAGGCTGACCACGAAAGGCATCGTGCGTGTTTTGTCAGCGGGACTTCCGGGATGTCGGACTAGGTGTGCAGAACGCGAGTGGGCTCTGTGCCAGTCCCACCGCCAAACCTGTAACGCCGTGGCTGCCGTGTTGATCCTGTCGAGGCAGGCAGCTCGGTCGTGATGGCCAACCACAGCCTCGGCTATACCGGGCAGGTCGACGATGATGTCCAAGAGACGATCCTCGAAGGTCTTTGGTAGTTTCTGCCATGGTAGAGTCTTCCAGGGTTCATCTTCGAGAAAGCAGCGTTCTTTTCGAAAGAGTGCCTGGCAGATCTTATGCGACGTTAGCTGCATGTCCAGTACATACCTCCCTGCCTAGGTAGGTATACGGGATGACGAGTCGTGTCTGGCACCCCACACAACTTACAAGCAAAGTCCTGCACGACCGATACACGGGGAGGAGCTTGTCATTCTGAAATATATCCGGGCCACAGTACTGTAGGATGTTTGTGATACCGGCGTGGTGGGGAGGCGCGTCTCCGCGGATCTTGTTCATGGCAAACTGGAGACAACCAGTTTAACGTTAGCAATGTAACGACCGAGCGTGGGCCAGACCGGGCGAAACTTGCCTCATACATGGCCATCAATATCAAGGTGGAACACAGTTCAGCAAGCTGGGGCTTGGCAGGTTGCAACAACAATGAGTGGACTTCACGCAAGACATGCCCATAGAGTTGGCCGCCTCGGGCCTTCAGGGCGCTATCCCCACGGCCAAGACCCGTGTATCCATACGAGATGGCATAGAAACAGACTCTATTAATCTCGGGGAACCCGCTGGTCGTGACGGAGAGAATGAGCGGGCGCCACAACGGGGCCCAGCCGTACTTGGCAAAAAAGTAGGGCGGGGACGTCTGCTGTTCGTTACGGAGAAGGCGTAAGTCGGCTGTGGGAGACGGCACATGTGGCAGGCGCGCCAAGGTAGTGGTGGGTTCGGGTGAAGTGACCTGCACCATCCGTTGGGTACCATCATGCTCCGAATGGACGCCAAGCACCTTCATGCGCATGGGGAGCTCGTAGCCACCGCAGGTGTGGCCGGAGGAAATGCAACGAGCGCAGGTGGGACGTGCCTTATCTGCAGGTACAAAGGATTGTCTCAATGAGGAAACTTTTGATCCGTGTCCGGGGAGTGCCGACACTGGTAGGGAGGTAGTGGAGTTAACCATGCAGGTACCACTCACCACACTTGACTCGTCTCTTCCGGCATGTTTGGCAGTACCCGCTGGTTGGTAGTCGACCCATGGCGATTAAATGCTTCAGTCGTAGCTGGTTCAGTGACTTTCTAACTTTCCCCGAATCGAGACTTGGCGGGGGGTTCGATGCTCTATTGATCACAGTGCTGCCTGCCCGGTCTCGTTCAATCGGGCACGCTGCTTGAAACCCCTGCTGCTTAGCAGTGATTAATCCGTTTGTCAGGGGCGAATTTGTCATAAATCATGATCAAAACAAGCGGCGCGAGGGTTCTGGCTAAGTCACTTGTGCTGAATCCGATGGAGGTTATCCAAGAAAGGAAACTTAGCTCGAGCCTGGATTTCGAAGTCGTTGGAGCCTTCGAGGTTTGTCAGCCCACCTCCAAGGAGTTGAATCCGTTTCATCATTGCCCGCCAATCAACGGCGGCGCGAGATCGGAGCCAAGCGTTTGCTCCACGTTGCCATGTTGCACCCGCTTCCCGATCGGGCAACTTTGATCGAGCTGCATATCTTGCTTAGTTGAAGATGTTCCTGGAGCCTCAGAGCCGATAAACGCGAATTTGTAAGAATAGAGCGTGATCTACTGACAAATTCGTGTGTTTTTATCATATATAACGAGCTTCATAGTCCAGTCTTCTACTACCAGAATGCACATCAAACGCATCACGCACTCATCACAAACCACATCACAACCACCAGACATCAGCACATCTTCACCTCACACTTCGTCGATTTCACATCAACACCGCCGCAATGGAGAACCTCCCATCCGACCACTTCCTCACCAGGTGCGACCCCAAGCCTCATCAATACTCAAGCGGCCATGGCACTAACAAAAATGCATCAACAGCCTCCAGTTCACCAAGAACGTCTACCAAGACGTGTACCCCTCCATTGACCCCTCGAAGCCGGAGCTGTCTCTGGCCGGCAAGGTTGTCATCATCACCGGTGCCAGCCGCGGCATTGGAGCCAGGGTAACCCCCCCCCCAAACAGCTTGGGACCTACGATATCAGACCAGTAGCTAACAGTTCGTCCTAACAGGGAATCGCTCCCGCATTCGCCAAAGCCGGCCCGAAGGCCATTGTGCTCGTGGCGACCAACGCGGAGAAGCTTGCGACGGTCGAGGGCGAACTCAAGGCCATCAACCCCAAGGTCCAGCTCCTTTCCGTTGCGGCCAACATCGCCGATGTCGCGTCGGTGGACAATTTGTTCGCACAGGTGAAGGCGACCTTTGGCCATGCCGATGTCCTCGTCAACAATGCCGGTGTCAGCGTTGCCGCTGGAAACTTCCACGAGCAGGACATTGACGTGTGGTGGTCCAACCATGTACGTGCCCCCATTCCCAACATACCCCTTCCGGCCGTGGACAGCATAAAAAGAACCCCCCCCCCCCCCCCCCCCCCCCATCCCATCCCTTCCATCAAACACTTACTAACCCCTTCACAGGAAGTCAACGCCAAGGGCGCCTTCCTGCTCGCGCGGGGCTTCATCAACGCGCTCCCGGACCCCTCCACCACGCCGGCGACCATCGTCAACCTGACGACGGCGGCGGCGTGGCTGGTGCTGCCCATCATGTCCGGGTACGCGACCAGCAAGGTGGCGAGCCAGCAGCTGATGACGCACCTGGCGGCGGGCTACCCCAACATCACGGCCGTGTCGCTGCACCCGGGCTTCGTCGACACCGACATGGTGCCCGACAGCTTCCGCCACTTCGACTTCGACTCGCCCGCCCTCGTCGGCGGCGCCGCCGTGTGGCTGGCCAGTGACAAGGCCAAGTTCCTGAGCGGCCGCGCCGTGGCCGCGCAGTGGAGCGTGGATGATTTGGTGGCTAGGGAGGACGAGATTGTTAAGGGGGGCTTGCTGCGCATGGAGATGACGGGCAAGTACGGGGCCGAGCAGTTTCAGTAGGGAGGGGGTGTTGGTCTCGTCGTTGAGTGGGGGGTGGTTTAGCAGGGCACGAGTGTAGAGGGGGAGGTTGAGGTTGGGAAGATTACAATACATAGATTACACAGGCAGAATCAGTCAGGAATTTCGAAAACTGTTAGGTACCGACCTTCACGGCTCCACTCTGGGCCAACTCAGCGGGGCAGTGGTGGGTCTTGAGGGCTGTTCAGGAACCGCGTGAGATGGAAATCCCCCAGAACCTCCGATGCAGCCCGGCTTCAGGGCCTGATCCAGACGCACACAGGATTACACGTAATCCTGAAAAAGATACATTCTGCCCTAAAAGTTAGCGGCTTGGCCTGCAGAATTAGTTAATATATCTGTAGGCCTCTTGCAGCGAAGAAGCTTATCGCCCCGATACTAGTCCTCTCTCCTATTTATCGCTATCAATACTATTAACGTTGGCCAACTTAACAATAGAGGTAATAATAATATTATAGCCTTTACGATAGTTAGAATATATTAAAAAAGAGAAGTTAAAATAATTTTTTTATTCTGCCGCCTCTAACCGCCTCTACCGCAGCCGTAATCCTGAGAGCTCGACATCGTAATCCCCAAAATCGGGGATTACGAAAAAGAGTGTTTGGAAGGCATTTTTGTGCCTCTGGCTTGGCGACCAAACCTTTTGTAGGCAATGAGGCGAGCCCCTTAGCGTGGTACATTGTCTCTTGGCAAAAATGGGATTACGAGCAACTGGCCCCAAAGTATCGGCAAAATCCACTGCTTAAAAGGGAAAGGCGCCTCCATTTAACCTGTGGACGCAATTTTTCGATACTTGCAGGGGGGGGCCAACACAGGATTACCGTAATCCTGTGCGTCTGGATCAGGCCCTCAGTTGTTGAGTCACCAGCCATTCATTCTTCTTACCTGCTGCGGATTGCCTCCCTCGGATCATCCCAATGATCCCATCACCTAAACTCCGAGGGATTTCACCCCATGCGTTTTCGCTTGTGGATAGCGAACATCTTGCAGAGGTCGACAAGTCCAAGTCCTGCGATTAATATTCATGCTCCCGAAACTTGCCTCGTTAGCGCGGTCGGTGGACGAATGCAACTTGCCCGGGAACTTGGATGGAAAGACGGAAAGTCTGGGGTACGGTACGGATGGATACAAGGACCGGCACACCGGTTCTGGTAGGGCTGTCATTTCTCGCTCCACCCGCCCCGCTCGGCAGTTGTCGGGAGTGCTGACAGGAAGAAAGTCCGAACCAGCGAGTTTTGTTCGGATCGTGTAAAAGATGCCTGCTAGGCACACCAGGCCATACTGGACAAGACCGGATTCATAAAAGTGAGCGTTGGACCTCGTATCCGTCTCAACCACTACAATGCGACGATTTATGAGGCGACCGAGGCGGGCGAGTGGGTTTCCACAACGAACACCCACTCGCGCCGCCAACGGCCACTGGCCTTGTCGCCCCTCGTGTTTGGTCGCCGCACCCCCCTGCGCCCCGTTCTCCGCCACAGCACAGAGACAGCTCATGACGACAGCCGGCTTTACCGACACTCAGCTGACGGTCAGACGCGCAATCACCCAGCTATGCGCGCGGTTTTCCAACGCCTACTGGCGCGACCGCGACCAGCGCGAGCAGGACCCGGCCGACTTCCACGCCGCGCTCGCCGAGGGCGGATGGCTCGGCATCGCACTCCCGGAGTCCCTCGGGGGGTCGGGCCTCGGAATCTCGGAAGCCACGGCCATGATGCAGGCCATCACTGAGTCGGGGGCCGGCATGGCCGGGGCCCAGTCCGTCCACGCCAACGTCTACGCGACCCAGCCGCTGGCGCGCTTCGGCAGCGCCGCGCAGCTGCAGGACATTGCCAACATCATCGAGGGGAAGTCGCGCGTGTGCTTTGGCGTGACGGAGCCCAACTCGGGCTTGGACACGCTGAGGCTGTCTACTGCGGCGGTTAAGCAGGCCGATGGTTCGTACAAGGTGTCCGGGCAGAAGATCTGGATTACGTGCGCGCAGGTGGCATCCAAGATGATATTGCTAGCAAGGACGACACCGCTAGAGCAAGTCAAGAAGCCGAGTGAAGGCCTGTCGCTGTTCTACATCGACCTTGACCGGTCCAGCCCCAGCTTAGACATGCAACGAATCAAGAAGATGGGCGGCCGGGCAGTGGACGCCAACGAGGTCTTCTTCAACAGCTACCCCATTCCAGCAGACTCATTGGTAGGTGACGAGGGGCAAGGCTTCAAAATCATTCTACATGGCATGAACGCAGAGCGCTGTCTTCTCGCCGGCGAGGCGCTGGGCCTTGGGTACGCGGCACTAGAGAAAGCAGCCGCCTACGCGCGGGAGAGGACAGTCTTCCAGCGGCCGATCGGGCAGAACCAGGGGATTGCACACCCCCTCGCGGATGCATACATGCGGCTGGAGGCGGCCAAGTTGGCGACGTACCACGCGGCACGTCTCTATGACCAGAGCAGGGCGGGCGGCGAGGAGACGGCCCAACCGGACGCGGTTGGTGTGGCTTGCAACAGCGCCAAGTATCTGGCGGCAGAGGCCGCTTTCTCGGCCTGCGAAAGAGCCGTCCTCACGCACGGAGGCATGGGATATGCGGTGGAGTATGATGTTGAGCGTTATTTTCGTGAGTGTTTGGTGCCGAGAATCGCTCCCGTCAGTCGGGAGATGATTTTGAATTATATCAGCGAGAGGGTGCTTGGTTTGCCACGAAGTTATTAGCGCCATGTAATCTAAGTATGTCACATGTGCTATTCTTAGTTCTTAATTAGTTGGTGTTGGACCTCTCTCTTACATATTATTAATTACCATGCCGTCCGTTGGTGGCTGTCATCGAACCCCCGGCTATTTCCGGCCTCGGCCATGTCAGCCGCATCTGTGGTCATGCGCTGAGTGGTTATGATGCACTCCTGTTCGATTTGGCCATATTCCTCGACTAAACTGACGGCGGATTCCCCATCGTTATCAGGTGCCTCTATCGAAGATACTGAAATGACTGCGTGGTACCTAGCCCCTGCACTGGTGTATGTATGGCCATTTCAACCTCCGTATGACAGCGGTGTTTGTCTTCGGCTTCGGCTTTACTGGAGTTATAATGCGTAGATAGACCTTCGGCCCCGACGACATTACTACCCAAATTCGGCCGTGGGGTCCTGCAGGTGGTCCGAAAACGCGACCTGAATACCGTAGTGGGAAAATGAGGAGAGGGGTTAGCCTTACATGCCTTCTGGAAGGCTCGTAAGGCTTCTGTCTAAAGTAAGGCTTATTTTTTCCGTAAGGCTTATGAACGCCCCACCTAATGCAGCCACTCTGATTGGTCAATTCTTGCGACTCATGCCCGATTAGGCAAGTGGAGACGCGTCAAGAAAAGACGCGCTGAAAGACGCGCTGAAAGATGCGCCGGAGGAGGACTGCGTTAGTGGATACGGTAGCGAATGACCAGTGGGTGAGAACAGCCAGGTGGCAATATACAATGTAATAAGAAGTAAATAAATAAGTAAATAGAGAAGTAATAGAAATATATAAGTTAGGTAATATTCTTTTTAATTAATTAGATCTATCTATTTTTCCCCTTTAAAGTACTAGCCTAGGAAGTAGTTATAAAGGTAGTCTATACTATACTATATACTAGTAACTATTAAAGGTAATATATCGCTTTTAGCTTTATTAACCTATTCTATAGCTTGTAGTATTATACTATAGGTTTAGTAGTAACTAGCCTAGTATATAGTAGTATATTTAGAGTAGAGTTTAAATAGGCTAATAGACCTATTATAGTTATTATCACTTATATCCTAGCTTATATTAGTATTATATTCGGTTACCGATTAACTAAGTTATAAATAGAAGTAATAACTATAATAGGTAGTATAATCTAGTAAGCGTATATACCTTAGCTATAAAGTATTATAGTTACTATAGTTATATTAAGTATTAGGTATAGTATTGGATATAGTATTAGATATACCTCTACTATAACTACCCTTACTACTATAACTACCTCTACTATATATAGCTAGGGTACTACTATACCTAGCTATATCTATATAAATACTAGTAGTTAAAGATAAGTTATTATTAGCTATAAGTATATACTAGGAGGTTTAATAGGTCCTAGCTAAGATATAGGTAGTAGTAGTAATAGTAGTAGATTTACTAGTAGAACCACCGGCTATTATACTTACAGGCTATATAATAAGAGCTTATTACTCCTATATACTCTGCTATTTAGTAGCTAAAGCTATAATAAAGATAGGTAATTGCTAGGGGATCTTACTAATAGTAGCCTTCTTAATAGTTAACTTTCTCTAGATAGTTAGTTTACCGGTAGCCACCACTAATATAGGAGACTATATACTACCTAGACCTCTAGTAATATACTATAGACTAGGTAGGGTAATCCTACTAGGACCGGTAGTACCTATAGCCTAGGTATATTAGAGTAGAAGTAGTACTGGTATTTCGGAAGTCCTACCTATTTTCCGTATCCGGGTACCTATAGTACTAGTAGATAGAGAGGATATAGGTATCTTAGGAATAGAGATTAGGGTAGTAGATAGCTTCTTCAGTATTGATACTACTATACTTCTACCTATAGACGATATAGCTATAGATACTATAGAGGTAGATATAGGTATAGTTAAAGTAGTAGTACCTAGAGGTATAATAGTCTTAGTAATACTATCCGAGCTCTATTAGCTCGGTAGGATAGTACTACTAAAATTAAAAGTCGGTAAGCCTATAGTAGGGCGGTTAGTAGGGTTCTACTATATCTCCCGGTTTAATGTACTATTATTTCTTTTTGTAGAGGTAAGATCTCTACTAAAATTATAACTAAATAGTAAGAGGAAGGGGTTAATATTAGAGTTTAGAGATAGGTAGTTAGTAGTACCGCTAGTACTAGTACCCCTACCCTAGGATATAGAAGTACTGTCGATAGATATTATTTTATAGTTAATACCGGTAGCCCTTATAAATAGTTGCTCTAGTAATTAACTCTATTCCTTATTTAAGTTACCTTTATTAAATGCGATAGCTATAGCGGTTTTAAGTAAGCAGCTAAATTCGAGAAGCTACTAGATATACTTACTAATAGTAAGGGAAATCGTTTTATCAGTATTAGTCTGAGCCGCTATACTATAATTATCATCTAGCTAGAGATTGTTGGAGCTAATAGATATATAGTTACTATAAAGACCCTCCTTAATATTCTTAGGTCTAGCTACCTCCTTACCTTTACCCTTATCCTTATATTAGGAAGTTAGAGCTAGGTCTTCTAATACTTTGGAAGGACCGGGCAATATAAATAGTATTCTAGTAATCTAGCTAGAAGTATTAGTTATAGCGGAATAAGAGAGGTTCTAATAGTAAGGGGGGTACTATATAGTTTTATACTATGGTAAGTCCTAGAGAGAACTAGTAGCCGATTTATTATTGCTACTACCGGAATTAGGCGGTAGTAAGTAAGAGATAATATATTTGTTTATTATATCGGTATACTTAACAATAAGTTCCTTAGTCTATTCCTCGATATTAAGCTTAATCTATTTAAAATAGTATAGTTCGATCCCTTAGAAAAAGTCTAGTACTAAAAGGCCTTTAAAGATTTTAGTATAGATATTATACTAGGTTAAGTCCTTTATCTAGCCTATTATATTATCTGGATTCTACTTTTTACCTAGGTTAAGGATCTCTTTAGAAATTATAATAAATAAGACCTATTTAATTATAATACTAAATATAATATAGAGGAAGTAGAAAAGCTTCCTATAGTACTTCTTAAAAGTCTAATCCTAATTAATATATTTAGCCTACTATTTAAAAACTATACTAAAGAGGTCCTTCTAGATCTTACTCTCAACCTAGATCTTAATATACTATATATCTTCAGGCTTAAAGATTGTAAAGCTATCGCTATATAAGTTCTACTTAGGGATATAGATCTAGAGGTTATACCGGAAATCATCCTAGAAGTTAGTAAACTAGGTCTTTATATAAACGTATATCTACTAGTATAACAGATAGTACCTATAGAACTAAGCTTAATATTAAATATATTTATAAAGGTTGTAGAAAACAGTATTTATTCTAGGAACTTCGGGGTATACCTCGGAAATAATAGTTCCGAATAGGCGGGTATTATAGTATATAAAGAAGATTTAGTGGAGCTTTATATTAACCTTAGTCCTTATAGTATTTATCTCTTATTTACTTAGAGGGGTATTGGGAGTAATCTATTTAACTTTCCTAGTAACCTAGATATCGGGTATTGTAAGTAGCTCCTTATATAAAGTGTAAGAGATAGGCTTAAAGAGGTTGGGGTATAGTATATCGATTGCCTGGCCTTCTTTATTAGAGCTATATAGGGTTGAACTACCTTGAGTTTTTTTTAAGGATATTATACTAGGGCCGGTACTAGTACCGGCTATAGCGCTAGTACTAGGTATATTGCTAGTACTAGGTATATCGCTAGTACCGGGTATAGCACCGGAGGGTATATAGGGTATAATATTTTCAGTCTCTTATATAGTTAGTACAATAGGTAAGGGCAGTATAATATCTATAGTAGTAGTTAGAGTAATTAACCTGGCCTATAATAATATATAGGTTAGTATTGGTTTATCTAAGTAACTTAAATATATAGTTATTAAAGTAACTTACTATTATCGAATCTTTATAATACTTACTTCTAACAGTACTAGGTATAAATTATAACGGTTGCGGCGGACCGGCTAGAGTATTGCCTAGAGTATTACTAGGGTTGGCTATAATGTACTGATATTATAGATATAAAGTAATAGTATTTGGGTTTATAGGTATTAACTAACTATGGAAGTTATAAAGTGAGATAGGTTAAATAAGTAGAATAAACCGGTATATTTAGAGTTAATTAAAAAGTATATTGGTAGAGGTAGGGCAATAGTGCTGGAAAATCGCGGTGTATATGGCCCGGCAGGTGTGTAAGGTAGCCCGGGTGTAAAAATATATAAAGTTCTCGGTAGGTATAAGAGGGTAAGAGCAATCTTTAAAGTTAGACTTAACCTTTAATACTAGCCGGTTTACTATAAGCCTTCCAAAGTATAGTAAGCCTAATAGCTGTTAAGATAACCACCTAGTAGATAAAGCTAACTATTAAATTACAGTAGCTAGAAAGCTCTAGCTGTAAATAGCGGTTCCCAGTTCTAGCTATAGAGGGCGATAACGAGAGTAATACTATTATAGCCGATACTACTGAAGTGGCGATACACCTCAAAACCACACATACCACCAAACATTTACAGTAAGTCACGTACTACGCGCGCGTTATAATGTCAATGTTGTATAAGGGAGGAATTGGCTTAGAGAACAATCTTCAACACTACAGATCCTACAACTGTAGAATCAATACACCTATATATATGGCCTTCTGGTTAGAAGGCCGCGGTTACAACTACCGCAAAAAGAGGTTACTTCAACAAGTACGGAAAAAGAAATAGAATTGTATACCCTGTAAACTCTGAGAGGGCTTAAGCCTCTGACTAAATACAAGGATACCCTAGGCAGACAAACGTAACGAAGAAATAGAAAAACGAAAATTCTAGACCCTATATCCCTCTAGTTAGAGGGAGCTCGTTACCCTAGTTTATACTTCCCTTTTAAACTTATAATAGCTCCTATCTATAAGTTTAAATCTAATCTTCCTAACTATTACGCTATATACGCTCTGTATACGATACCGGGTCCTATAGGTAATGGTTATACTATATAGGTATATCTACTACTTCCCTTT